TGCAAGGAATGAGTCCAGCTGCTCTTTTCTGTTTTTCTTTAAGAAGATGTAGATCTTTCAAAATCCATGTACAAGGAGTAATGACACGGCTGATTGGTGTTCGTGCACACAGGTCTCTTTGACCTATTGGCACTTCCTCACGTAAGAGAGACTCCCTGCATAGAAAGTCATCTCATCAGGAGGTTGGGTCCTAGAGATTTTCTACTTGAAAGGTTTTACTTTAAACAACCTTCCTGGTGGAAAAATATGGGGTAGCAGAGCAAAGGGAAGCATATGAGTTTTCTGCTTTAATATTTAGAACTTTTATGGAGTTTAGGATAGAGCAGATTCTACCTGGGTGAATCTACCCACTTCCTGGATGCCAAGATAAGTGGTGCCAAGATAAGTGCCTCTTCAGAAGAGGCCACTGCATGCTTAATACTGAAGCCTCTATAACCTTGAAATTACATGAAATACATACCCAGTAACCATGTCCACCATGACTGAAAGTTACTGCAAACCAAAAGAAAGGCTAAGAGATGGGGCAGAAAACAAGTTAAGGTGGGAATCTAGGCAACCTTAGCCTAGGGGTTTTTGTGTGGAAGGTAGAATTAGCCACCCAAGAACAACCTGCCCGTATGTTTTGCTCAGACTCCCTGTACTTTTAAGGAGAAGAATACAGAATATAGAATATAGATCCCATAGATTCTAGCAAGAAATGCTCAGCTACACTAGTCCAAATGGACAGGCTATTGAAATTTAACTACTGTATCAGGACACAGGCACTGTGTAAAGCCACATTCCTTGATCACTGTTCCTGCTGCCTTTTGTTACTGCTTAAAGGAAAGCTGCATGGAGCACAGGTGCTCCTTCTCAAGTGCCAGCTCTGCCATACTTTCTCTCTGCTTGAGTTTTTTCAAAGTCTTAAGGTAATGAAAACATCACAGTGGTGATTTTTACTGTTCTAGAGACTAGTTTGTGAAAAGAATTCAAGCCTTTTATGTAAGAGTGCTGAAAAACTGGAATATTAAAGGGAATAAAGTTTGTACAGACTAGATTTTAGAAGCATGATGCTGAAAAATAACTTAGGGGATTTTCCATATTAGCGATGGAAATATGGCTTAGGTAACCTGCTTGGATGTGTTTGGACCTTAGTCTGGGAGGTTGCCAGTTAAGAACATGGGTGTTTGTGATAGCCTGAAAAAAGTGAGTTAATTTTGGAAATTTGGCCCTGGAAGAGGACTGCTCAACTTTAAGAACTTGTTCCGCTTTAACTACCGCCCTATCCCTCAAAGCTTCCACTGGGAGGTTGAAATTTCAGAAATTGTATATCAGTGTTGCTGTCATTTAAATGTACTTCATTTTCTGTCAGACCTGAAACTACAAAAATGTTTTTTCCTATGATCTCAGAGTTTGTAAGTCTATTCTGTCCTTTCCCGGTATCTGAGTTTGCCTTTCCAGACAAGTGCAACAGTATATAAAAGGAACAATAACTGCAGGATTATTTACTTAGGGCTTTGCTAAAGTCCTCTCACTGAGGCTTATGTGCAGAGTTGCATGTGCTTAGTTCAGTGAAGTGCAGTTTAGCAAAGTACAGTTAAATGGTAAACACACTGAAAATTTTATCTTACCCTTCCCACAGAACAAAATAATACTATTAAAGAACATAGTTAGATCAGAAGACAAGGTAGTTATTAGATGAGAAACCCCTACCTTGTATTATTTTGGGAAGAATTCTTCTTGGTTTGCATGCGGTTTTTCCCCTCTTTCTGAATCCCATCTGCCTCACCTCAGATAGCAGCAGTGATTTTTCCATATTGCTAACAAGTATTTTCCTTTCTGTCTCTGGTGTTCTCAAAACACATACCCAGTAATGCTTCATAAAACAACTGTGCTCTCTTTATGAGGAAATCCTCTGTGAACTCCTTTTTAACTGCAGATGGAGGTTCTCACTGTGTTGCTGAAGGGTCCTATGAACAACATTGAATTTCCAGTGCATCTCTAGGTAGCTACAAGGAAATTGAGATTCCATCTATCTGGGATGAGAAGACTACAAGTGGGAATGAAACCCATGTGATCTTGGACAGCAGGACCTGGGACCCTGGGTTTTGGTGCCTTCAAAGCCTGTGTGATTGGAAGTCCTACTTGCCTTCCAAGAACGCTTCCCCATTTTCCAAGACAAAACTGAAACTGTTAAGTACTGGGAGAGGAAGAAAAAGAAACATAACAAAGAGAAACCCCTCACCACCAATGAAAGTGGGAGGCTAGATAGAAAGTCTGGAGGAGATGAACACAGAACTCAGGCAAAGAGACAAGACATGGGCTCTTGCTACTGCTTTCTTTTTGCTAGACTCCAGAAGACAAGGCAGCACCTGGAGAATGGTGTCATTCTTTGAGGACAGAGAGAGTCAAGCCCACTCCCTTCCAGCACTAATGCTTTGTATGAAGTTGCCAGGGTCCTTTGTCGTAGATCCTGCCTGGAAGACAATGGGATCAGAAGGCTCCACAATCTCCTGAGTTCCTAATGTGCTGATATCACCCTTTCAGAGGGGGTGATGAGAGACATTTCCTCAGGATTTTTTCTGGGTTTTCCAGAAGAATCTCTTCTTGTGGCCTGCAGACCAAACAGCTCTTGCTTAAGAAACAAAATGGTTCCTGGGATCAGATAATACAGATCTCAATTTACTTCCAAGAGGGGTGTGGAAGGAAGCAAAAGTGCTGCTCACTGTCACTACTACTCTTTGTAGGGATACACAGTTAAAAGTTTCTTTCCTTCCTTTCTCTCCCAAGTACTATCAGTGGATTTCTCCACTGGAGAAAGTTTAATCTGTTCAACTCTGTCATCCAGTTCCACTGGATCTGCACTGCAGGCGCAAACTGAACCACAAAGTTCTAAGGTGACTAAGAATGCAGAAGGGGGTGGAAGTTTGACATGTGCAGTGTGACCTGGAATTGCCAAGAACTTTTAAGTAAGAATTCTCTGACAGTGTGTGCTTGTGAGCCTGCTTATGGGCAGCACTGACCCAGCACCAAAACTCAGAGCACTGTGACAAACAACACCTTGCATGTAAATTCCTGTCAGAATAATTGTCTTTCCAGTGCTTACTAAGAGCATATAAATATCTGCGGGGAGAGATCAGTATTCATTCTTCTCAGAAATAAAACCCTCTGTGTGATGAAATAAAAACTCCCTTTCGAGGCAGCTTGCTTTTTTGGTATGAAGTGACTTTAGATTCTCAGCCATAGACTGCCCTACAGTGGTGAAGCCGAAATCTGCAGCCTTACTGACTTTTATCCAGGATCTTTAGAATTCCTCATTAAGAAATAGTTTGCCCATCACTAGAAGGGACAGAAAGAGCCTGTGCAAACTACAGACCAAATGAAAAATAAATGAAACAAGGAAGATTTTATAGTTCAATGTAAATACAGTGTGCAGCAAAACGCCACTACTGACTAGTAATATTTTATCTCTTTTTCATAGGAAACAAGGCAGATTTGACCATACCTTGTATCTGTCTCCAGAAGTTATTTGCTGACTTCAGTCAAATTTAACTGCAAAAATAAAAATCTCAAAGACAGCTAAATGTCAACAGATTTTGAGAAAAGCAGTTTTTGTAAAAAGCTCAAGGAAACGTATGGTTCTAGTGTCAACATAGAAATTGTTGGATAACAAAGAATCCACAGAGGAGAGTGGCTTTGTATGTGCCCTGGGAGAAAACTCTCAGACACATCTTACAACGAACGTAGAGATAGAAATCCTTAGAAACCTGTACTAAAGCAGAAACTGGGGTTCATTTAATCTGCAGCTTGCTCTGTAAACTGACAAAACTTCCTTCTTGTTAGATCAGCTACCTCTCCAACTCCAGAGAAATCTGCTTTCCAATCAGAGTTTTGTAATGCTGAAAAAAAAAAACGGGGTTTCATTTTCTGCACATCCTTATCAGTCTAATAAAAAGGCAGAAATCTTATCTGCCTTTTAAGCTGCAGTACATTTGACAGTAACAAAAAATAGTGCCACCAATCCTTCAGGTAGCAAATATGACAGAACTGAGGTTGGCTATTGCCAATAAAGATTTCATTAATGGAGATAAAATAAACCAAAAGCTTTTTTTTTCACTACAACAGGTATGCTTTACCCTCATTGTACTCTAAGATGATTCAAGAGAAATTAACATCTTCCAGTTACCTGTTTCAGCTCCCCTTACAATACGATAAACAGGCACTCCTTTAGATTTGTCCTTTGTTGAGAGACAAATTAATATCAAAAATGGCTATTGCTTTTCATTTTCTGCAGAGGAAGCCTAGGATTACTAGCAAAGTGATGGGCATCTGTTTTGCAAATGTTGGAATTTGGAGAGCTCTTACTATGGTAGTAACTGTACATCCTGAAAGCACTGTGAGTGATCTTCATATAGCTGAGGGACTATTCTTTAGTGAAAATACATAATTGCAATGAACTGAGACAGTTCTAACATACAGAGCCCTGCTAAAGTAAGTTCTGGTGCTGAATTAGAAGTTTCTCCAAGTCATCTGAATAATTTCATGATCATCATTCACCTTTGCCTTTGTTCTGGCAGACAACAATCATCTTCCCTCCCACCTTATAGACTGGGTCTTCTGAACAGCACAATCTGATCAGATTTTAAGGAGCCAGGAGCAGATACTCCAAAAATTTAGGAAACCACATGACTTCCTATAAATTGAAAAAGAACTTTTCTTCTTTCTTCAAACTCAAACTCATCAAGACTGTATAAGAATAAGTACAAAAGCCGTGCTTTTTGAGATGTGCTTTTAATCATTCAGAGCAAAATAAGAGGATTTGGAAAGGACTCAAGAGGTTGTGCACTTGTAAGAATACAAATTTGTGTTCTTATTTTGCACACAAATAAATAGGACATAGTTAATTAATTAGAGAACAAACAGGATGCAGTTACTGGGAAAAGTAAAGTTCAAAAGATCCAAGGAAGCTAAGAACGGTTCACAGTCCTTTTAGTTAATAATGCCAGGGGGTTTTTCTGCCTTCATTTTGATGTTAAGCTGATGGCTCTCTTGATCCGGTTCAGAGTGGTCGCCTTGTCATTTTCTTCATTGTTCTGCAGCTCCTTGGACTCAGGCCTCTTGCATTCAGTGTCTTGACAGCTGCAGCTCTCCACGTAGATGTACTTGTGTGACACTGCATGCCCACCAGGGCATTTCAGAACCACTTGCTTCTCAGTGGTGCTTGTTTCTCTGCAGCAGGAGCAGCTGTGGTCCATAGAGTTGGCCTCAGCAGAGTATCTGTCAACATGCGAAATGGCAATGTTATTCAGTGCCAGGAGAGGGGGAAATCAGGCACAGAACTCCTGCGAGAAGAGCCACAGTTGTGGCTAATGGAATTGCTAAGCTCATCTGACAGAGCAGTGATTATAAAATGCCTAACTCAATCAGGGCAGTGTTAACACGAAGGGGAAGCAGCAGCTTTCTGTTCCCATCTCACTGCAAAGTATTTTTTGCAGTCTTGTGTTCATCAGCTTCCTAAGCACCATTCCTAACCTGAAGAATCTGTCAATATCAGGCTATAAAGAGTAACAAGATCCATCTTTTTCTTGTATTTGGTAGAAGCAACCACAGCAAGACCCTAAGATGATCAGGAATTTCGAAATACTAATAAAATCCCTGGCTTCTCAGAGTTCCATGTGATACTAAAGATCAGTTTTCATCCATGTAAGATGCACTGTGACAGACTCAGTGGTAGGCAATAAGTGACAGTTTCTTTGGAGAGTTAGAGTCGTTTTTCCAGTGTTTTAGTAGCTCACTACCAGGTGTCCTACTAACCATTTCCTTATAGCCAGTTTTTAGTATATTCTCTCATTTCAGAGAAAAATGTACAGTCAACTTACTCTACTAACACCACACTAAAGCATTCATTTTCTCATTTCTTCACTGTATAAAAATTGTGCATATTTGAATCTTCCTTTGAAAGATGTATGTGTATTTCATTTTAGCTGTTGACTGTTGAGAAGCAGCTTTTCCACTTCTAGTTGTCAAGTCTGGCTGCTCTCTGGGCTCCTTCTCATTACAGGAAATAATCCATGTTCTTTTGTGACAATTTCTAGCCTAGGTGGTCTGACTCAAAGCCGGCTCTTAATGGATGAATAGGCCTTATCAGAGCTGTCTGAATCCCAAGACAATTGAATACACTTTTCTGCTTTGTATTATGACAAATCAGCTCGTCAGTCACAGATTCCATGATTTTATGTTCGTGATTCATGAAGCAGATAGTTCCAGGTCTTCTATACCATTGTGTAGTCTACTATTTATTGTTCCTTTTATATAAACAAGCTCAGTGCCACCAGGACTTAAATCTCATTGTCTGGTGAGTTTACTTACAGCGAGAAGGTTCCACATGTTCCTTCACATTCAGTCAAGTCAACTCTGTCCACGGAGCGGCAGCCATCGTAGACGATAAAGTCTTTTCTGTGGCGCACAGAGCACGGTGTGCTGCTGTCCAGAGGGGCACCTACAGGGAAAGAGCAGAAAATACTTTCAGTGAAATAGCTCCAGAAGTCCCTCGCACTTCAGCATTCCCTGGGCTTCACTAGTGCACTCCAAGAATTGCCTCAAGTGGTCTCTCTGCTTCTGCTTAAACTTCTCCAGAGAGATAGGACAGTGAAGACTTGGAATGACAAATATAAACATAGAAGTATCTATTTAAATACAAATTTATCTGGAAAATGGGCTGATTTAAGACAATTCATTCTCTGTATTGTTGATTCAGATACACTGGCATACTTACATGTTTTGCAACAACCATTAGGTAAGAACGAAATAGTTCCCTAAAATAAAAAAGAAACAAAAAATTTCTATTATATTATTTTTCTATATTAAAAAGCCATTAAGGCAAAAAACTGGGGAGAGCAATTATTCAGTTGGCTGGAAATAACCAATGAAAACTAGTTATTGTATTGTAACATTGATCTAAATAAGCAGAGATAACAGCCTCTTCCCAACTTGAAATTTATCAACCTACAAAGGATTGTGAAAATACAAACAATTATTTGAAGAAAGTCTACAGTTACCATCATGAAATTTTTGCTCAGAAGCAGTTCCAATAAATGGTTTCTCAGAGACCTCTGTATTTGAATGGGGACTACACACAGTGTTACTGGCAGCCTACTTACTGACTGAACAGCTTGTGTTTTAACATTCAAGGAAACCTGGTTCTTGTTGAGACAGAACCCGAAACAAAGCAGTCAGCTAATATTCAGTATCTTGGTGCTGACCAGTATTTTGGCTACTGAGAGACAGCTACCAATTATAAACCTTGAATTCTCACCCAGGTATCTTATTTTATATACTCTATAGGGCTGTGCATGGATGCATCTAGAACTTCTGCCCTTAGGACTGAGAAATTATGATGAAAGGCCATCAGAGCTAGATTTTACTTTTGTTGTTAGTTAGATGGCTGAAATAAAATTAAGTAATCTATGCATGGAGTAGAGGGTAAATTTTCTGTTTTTACTTACAGGTTTGCAGCTGTCCTCATTGAATGCTGGACAGGTAATCTCAGATGTGGAAGCGATAAGCTGGTCGTGGATATCTACACAGCTATAAATGGTGCAGTTGTCGTGAGGATCATTTTTAAAGTCTCCAGGCTGCAAGTGAAATGCAAAATGTAATAAGGAAAGCTGAAGGGAGCTCAGACAGAAATTTTCTTGCCCTCTGATAATAACTTTCATCTTGTTTCCCAGTCAATTATTTTTAGGTTAATAGCCATTTGGGATACAGATCATGACATGTATTGCAATATGCCATACATGGAGAGAATTTCAGTTTTATATGGTATTTTCCTTGAGAAAGAAAGAAAAATGTCTCTAAAGTACTTGGAGTACTTCAGCAAAATCATCCATGCCAATGGATTTTGCCTTCAAAAAGCTAGATGTTTTAAGTTAATTAAGAAACACTCTAAACCGTCATCCTACTAGGGTAATAGAATTGTTTCAGATGCAGGCTTTAATAGTGTTTTTCAGTGTCAAATAACATAGAAAAGCCCAAGCTTCCAGACACTGGAAGAAAACCTCTTCCAATGGTATTGTTTTTCTCATTCCAGAAGGGTCTTACAGATAATTTTATTTCATGAGACATACCTTCTGGTCAAAAGGTTTTGCTTTAGATGAGATTTTGATCTTTCAGGTGCAAACTTATACTAAAGCCTTGTCTCTGGCAAGGAGATGTTTTCTTTCTGGAACTGGGAACTTTACAGATTTGGTGGAGAACTAAGACAAAGAGCATACTTACACTCAAGATGAGTTCAGAATTGTCTGCTGTGTGTATAATACACTTGGTCTGCACACATTTTCCACAGCATTCACCTTTCACTGGTTTAAGTTCATATCCCTAGAAATTAAAATTAAAAACAATAGCACTATGATTTTTGAGAAATAAATGAAAATATATTAATCCATTAATTGATTAGGCTTTGAAGTGCACTCAAGATTTGTGCCTTTTGTGTTCCAAACCAACAGGAGACAAGTAATAGAAGCAGGTTATAAATGGAATAAATCAAAGCACTAGAATAAATATGCATAATAATTAAATATTACTCCACAAGGTGGTCTACAGAAATTTCCCAGCTAATTCTGCCAGTGTGAACTGAATGCTGACAGTTACACAGTCAATCTCAGGCAGCAGATTGCTGAAAGAACAGTTGATATCCATGCTGGAGTTGGTCTCTGTGATTCAACTCCCTGTCCTTTGCTTAATACCACTCATTGATCAAACTGCTGTTCACATATATGGGTATTTTGGGGTCTTTGTTTTCTTTAAGTTTGCCACTTACTGGTTGACAGTATGTGTTGCAGGGGACATGTTCACAGGAGATGATATTCAGTTGAGTGCTGACGTTAACATCATTTGTGCAGACGCAATTCTGACACTTGTCAACAAAGACTGAGGAGTTGGGCTACACATTTTAAGGAAAAAAAATCACAAATCACATATTAATGAGTTACTACATGTTTAAACAGACATTTATAATTTTTTAAAATATCTGTAAATGAAGCAATGGAGAAGGAAAAAAAAATCATAAAGACAACTGGATAGCTATTTGGCTAGCCATTTAAGAAGACAACATTTTAAAGACTGAATATAATTTAATGTGTCTTTATTGAAGACCTCTATAGCAATGACAAACTCTGACATTAAAAGAAAGGTACAATTACTAGACCCAAGACAATTAGAAATCTAAATTTGGTTAGAATAATACTTATTTATATGTCTTTTAATATTTGAAAACAGAGTCTTAAAACTGCAATAATGTGCTGACAGTAAATGTGGACTGACTTTTTAAAATGCCAGTCCACTTAACCCAAATTCCTCTATGACACTGACATATATGCAGCTCTTCAATTTCTTTCCTACAAAGGAAACTTTTCAGAAAATATTTAGGCTTTGTGAAACTGATAAACTTCTGGTAGAAATCTGAAAATTTCTAAAATATTTGTTGTACTGGATAAACCTTTTCATAGCACTTCTGATCAAGTATACTAACTGGTCTTTTAAGCATTTTTAAAGACTGTTGAAATAGGAACTTACCAAGAACTCGGCATTCTCGTGTACGCAAACCCCCTTGGGAACTGTTAATAAGCAAAGAGTCAGAAGTTTAGATAGGAAAAATTAATAAAAAAATGTCTTCAACCCACTCTAATCCAGCTCATTTCTTCCACAATGAATCACAATTCATATGGTTATTCCCCAATTCTGGTAGCAGATAGGAGATGTATAAAGTATAAAAACTAATACTGCATGTGCAAGAAGGGAAAAAGATTTGTCCCAAAATACACAGTCCCGTTCATATCCAAGAATATCCACTTAACAGATACAAGTACTTCCTTGTTTCAGTTAGCAAGAACTGTAAATTTGCTAGATTAAGCTGAGACCATCATCCCAGTTAATTCTGTAGCTGTTCTTATGTGTACTTATAAGCAGGAAATTGAACTTGGGTCACCAGAACTGTATCTGATTTCCTAGTTTCATAATTACAACACTAATAGCCAATTTTAATAATAGTGAATTAGTAGAATCTGGCTGTGTTTAACACCTCTTTCAAAAGGCTATTGCATACAGTCTTATTAAGTGTAATGCTAAATTATGTAATAAATCAAACTATAAGGCTAATCATTGTAATATATTTCCAAGGGACTTACCACATTGGTATACAGGACAGCACTGACCACTGGGAATATAAGAATGAACTTCAAATCCCAGTGAGCACTTGGGGGCTTTAGCTGTGCACAAGCTTGTGTTGCATTCTGAGGAAAAAAAAAAAAAAAAAAAAAAGAATAAGCCAGAAAATACACTAAATCACAGCTACTAGAAATAAGCACCTATCAAAGCACTTAGGATGAACTTTCCATTGCTAGGAAACAGTCCAGATCCTCTTAAAAAAAACCCCCCAATTGCAGATAGGGAACACATTTTTCCTCATAAATTCAGGCACTGGATATGTGGTACTGTATTAGTTTATGAATTTTTTTCTACTATGCAATTATGCTGTGTTAATAAAGTATCACCATTCTATGCAAAGAAGTAGAGAACAACTCCTATTCTCTCCATGATTTTAGGCAGTTACTGGAAAATGAAAATCCACAGAGAATTCCATAATCTGTCTGCATTTTGCTTAAATAAAATGTGGCCCTGAACACAATAACTATAGCTTTAGTTATGTTGAGTCCCATAACTGTAAATTCAGTTATACTGAAACATTGCAACATTAAAATGTATTTTCCCTAGCACTGGGCAAGTTGATTTGAAAAAGCATGAGAAAAGATACTATTTTGTGACTCCCTGCTGTAGATCTCTGGTACTAAGGTAGTTCAGTCTCTTTTCCTTTCTATTTCCAAGAGGTATAGAAAGACTAGAAATAAGAGTATAAACTCACTGCAAGTGAAAAGAGGGCAGCAGGAGTCTTTAGGATTGACTTCAGTGACCTCATAGAAGCCTTCTCCATCACAAGTGACCTTCTTTTGATCACATACATGAGGCTCACATACAATGCCATGTTCACCTTCCAGGCAAATACAGTCCTGACAGTCCACTGTAAACTTTTCTCCAAACTGCCATTGAAAAACAATAAAATGAGTGCTTGCATAGTAACCAATTAAAAGGAACAGAAGTAAAACAAGGAATACAAAGTACAGAGATGACAAAACAAGGTTGTACCAGTGGAAACCACTCTCCTCTCCCCCCCCAAACTTCTACTTGAAATCCAAAAGCATATAGCATCATACCTCTCTTGGTATCATATCCACTCCAACACAGCCTGGAAAATACCAAAATAAATTTCCATTACCAGTCATATAATAGGAGGAATCTCTATTATACATTGTATGAGCACTGCATACAGTCAAATCTTTCTTGTGTGCATGGAAGGTAACAAAGAGGAAACAAACATGCATCCAAGTGAAGCAGTAAAACTCACCACAGGTTTTCACGCAGACATCCACACCAGAGTCATACAGCATGGTTCCATTAGGACAGAAACAGCCTTCCACTTGTTTAGTTGATGTCTCATTCTGTCCTCTGTGAGACAAAATGTTCAGAGGAAGATCATTAATGTCATAGGTACATACAGGAGGATTATGCCAAATAACCTTTCACTGAAAATACAGTGGCAAATGATCTGCACATTTGTGACTGGGGTTTGCAGTGTCTGTGTTTGATAAAGCCAATCAACAGAAACAGAAACAGTTCAGGCACCCAGATTTAGGGTCAATAAAATAGTGCTAATAAATTAGGCAGCTAGTTTAAGACATGAGAGGAGGTTGATTTTGCTCATTCACCTGTGCATTAGATACGACTGAATAGTTGTACAAGCTATAACTAACTGTGAAGGAATTTTTTACCTTGATTTGCAGGTCATCTCTTTAATAGGACCACATGCTCTGTATTCTTTACCTGAAGGACATTCATGAGCTGGAATGGAAGAACAAAATGGAGGAACAGCTCAGTAACAATATCGTGTAAAAGCCGCATGATCTTATGCCAAAAACTTAAACACTGTTTACTCATTTTCCTATGTACCTATGACAATCTTGAGAAGCAAAGAGGAAAAATTCCAGATAGACTTATGTCTCTAAATGGAATAATTTTGTGTAATTTAACCATAGAGATATTATACTGTACTTTACACTAAGGTGATAAAGCCAAGAGTCTACACCTTGACTACAATTTTTTTGCATAATTTTAGTCTCTTTTGCAAAAGTTCTCAAAGGGGAGTGTCATCCTTCCCTGTGTGCTCTTACTACAGATGAAAACTAATGTACATGTCACCAAATAGAGAGTGATCTGCTGATGCCTGCAAAGCTTATAACTTATGCAGGAGCATACAAAAAAAGTATGTACTGATACAGATGTTTCTGGCACAGTCAATACATGTATATTTTTGCAGGCCGATTTATCATTTCCATTGTTAAAAATGTTACCAGCAAAATTACTTAGGGAGAGCAGCTGCTGTGATTTATTGGTGTCTTCATTACTCTGAAAGCAGTATGACATTACTGCTGAAACAGTTCCACATAATCTTCCTTAATAATTCAAGATGAATTATTATGGCCAGATACTTACAGCATACTCCATTGGTGTGTTTTCTCCAGTCAATGCATGCGCCTTGATCAGCACAGGTGGCAGCATAGATCTGCAGACTTGAGCATTCCAGGTCTAGGTTGGGTAGTACACAGCTATCAAAAACACAGGCTGCATAGTACTTCTCAGGCTGGACAAATGCATGGCATGGCTTGAACACACTAAAACCAGAAATATTTATCATTATTTGTTACTGAATGATTCATATCTTTTTCAACGTGCTTAACAAGTTATGATGTGGCAACAGTGGGCATGGGAGATTAAGAAGGTGTGGATGTGGACTATTGATGAGATTTGTGCTAAGAGCACTTATCCAGATAGCAACGTTCCAACACATCTTAAAATATTCTTCCCTCACCTACAAAACACTTTGACACCAACATTTTGAGTCCAGGAGTTGTATATTATTGGGTGCAACCATGTGCTATCTCTTTAAAGCTATTTTGATTTTTTTTCTTTTTCAGTTCTGACATAGTGTTCTAAAAATTAAGATCTCTGTTTTCACTTCGACTCTGTTTTCTGCTAAGTAAATGTGGGAAAAGGCAAGAACATGGGACAGGGGAGGGCAGAGAGTGTAGAAGAATGTGGGAACATCAGCAATGGTTAATGTGGCAGCCAGAGGGTTGAAAGAAACTGTCAGCAAAAAATAACAACCAGAAAGAGAGAAAGGAGTAGAAGCAAAACATAAAGATACAAGAAATGGAGAAATAGTTAGAAACACCTTCCACTGGTAAATTAATCCTAAAATTTCCATTTAAATCAAAGACCAAAGGCCTGTAAAACCAAGAGGATTGTTACCTTCCCAAAAGAAGCTCGCAGATGGAAGATTCTTTGCAAGGCTGTGTTGGCGTTGTGCTAGGTGAACTTGTAGGAACTAGGCCTGGAGAGCACTGTGGTTTGGAAGGATCAACAACTTGCCAGTGGTCTGCCATGGTTTCACAGTTTTCTGCAATGTTTCCATTTGGCAGCATGCAGTCATCTGCTGTGTTGTTATTGCAAGTACCTAAGGGTGGTACAGGGAGAAATAATTCACTCACAGATTTGTTAGGAAACACTATTCATCTTTGCAGCAGGGCTGTCACTGTGGTTTTTTGAGAGTGTAAAAATTGGAAGAGTAAGCCTTACCACACTGTCCCTGGGTATTGTTGCCAAACAGGCTGTAGGGCATTCTGATAGAAAAGGACAAGCCATTGTAGGTCACATTCATTTTCAGCTCAGGAATTTCCACAACACGATTTATGCCTGACTCGTAGATGCTCACACCAAACTTCTTATAAGGCAAAGCCACGAGCTGGTTGTTTACTGTCACCTAACAAATAAAGGAAAACAGAAAAGAGGCATAAATTTAGTTTGACTTTTCAAAACAATCGACTGTTCCTTTGTTTTGCAGAGAGAATGTAAAGGTAAATAATACCCTTTTAATTTGTAACAAATGTTCCTGTGTTTCCTTTGTTATTGAAAAGTCAAACTTTTCTTCTCTGAGCCACAAAAAGCCCATTAACCTCTGACAAATGAGGTTATTCAAAGTTTAAACCAGATAAATCCCAACACTCAACAGACTTATTAGAGTGACTATGGCATCAAGGACTCCTTATGAAAGTGGAATATAAAATTCTCCTAAATTCATATGGCATAAAGTTTTTATAGGAAAATTAAATAATGGAAATAAGACTAAAACTGTATTATTTATTTAAATACAGTAGCCATGATATACCTGTGAAACTAATACTACTACTTTCACTCAGCAATCAGAGATTGCTTTAGAGAAAAAAATAGAGGTCTAAATGTTGTAAATTTTCAACAATATGTTGCAACATAACTTGTAATATTCTCACACAGTAATGTACAAAAATAAACCAAACAAACAGTAAAAAGCTAAGAAGAGCCCCACAAAAGCTTTGACATCCCATTTATAAATGGAATAAAAATATAAGTGCCCTACTCTGAAAAATTAAAAAGGTGACACAAGTCAAAGCTACTAATGGTGCTTTTAAAAAATGCTTCAGGCCAGCACTTTATTGTTATGTCTACCTTACATTATCTCCTTCTATTCCATGTTGTTTTCCTTTTTTATGTTATTGTTAATTATAAATTAACTTATTTTATATACTAAACTCTTAGCAATTTGTCCACATTTGTGTATTTAGGAGAGATCTGCAAAGATTTGAAATTAAAAAGACAAGAAGTTGTAGAATTTTTTCTCCCCCACATTCAGCATAAAAAATGCTTTGAAGCAGTTCTTTGAAGCCCTTTGAAGCAGTCTAATTTTATAAACTAAACTGTTACCGAATCTAAAGCACAGATTATTTTTTTTTCCCAAACCTTGTGAATATAATTATCCTGTTGATGCAGTATTAACACCTGAATCAAGAAATCAATGGTAACATTCTTTAGTACCTCTACTTGTAGAGTATTTGGTTGTGCTGTTGTTAGCCTCACTTCCTGGGTCTCATGTCTCACAATGAGTGTTCGAGGACAGGACACTACATCCCGTACATCACAGTGGTAGTTATCAATGTAGACACCAAAGTTGTCAACTTTCTTATTGATCTCTTCCACAAGGACATATGTACAATTTCCTTGATAGCTGTAGTACAGTCCATCAAAAGTCATGTAATGTGGATCTCCCCAGCCAGTGCAGTAGCCTAAAAAACATACAGTTAAGTTAGGCTCTTATGGAAACATACAAAATCATATCAGACTACAAGGAATATCTGTAGATGTGGGAAACATCTCAGTGAACTTTGCGCATTTTACTTTTAATGAAGTGTATATGTCAATGCATGAGCTCATTAGCTAGAAGTCATCAATAAAAAACAGGCACTTTCAATGCACAGTTCATCTGACATTAATGACAGACAACTGGGAATAGGATTAACTGTACCATAGATTTATCTTTACCAATAGTCTGAACAAGTAACAAGATATAAATATGCTTCTAGCCTATAAATGTCGGCATCTGCATTTAAATCCTTCTTTGGGAGACCGATTTACTCTACTAACACAACAGTTATGTAGAGATAATGGCAACTTAAGCCAAAAATTCAATTAGCTAAAAAGAATCAACAGAGCATTCTAACCAACACTAGAAGACTGAGTCACAGCTTTGCACAATACTTGTTCCCTGATAAATATTGTTGGTCTTGACATCAGTATTGTTTCCTCAGGAGATTAAATATTCAATAAAATATATACTTACAATCACACTCCCAGTGCCAACAGCATCCATCCTCATCCATGACTGGCACAGGAGACAGTCCATTGGCACAGGTGGGTTTTGGAGGTGGATTGCAGATTATTGGAATCACCTGGACAATGTTGTCTTCTATACATATAACCTTAGTGCAGTTACACAGCATCCATGAGTCACCTTGCTGTTTTTGAAGAGAGGGGGAGTGGCGAGACAGAGACAAACCTTTAGGAAGCAGTGAGACTGACAATAGTTATGCCTGAATATCTTCTGCAGGTTTCTAAAAAACCATATGTTTATTGACAAGTTTTCCCCTATCAGAAATCTGAAAATAGGATGGAAGTGCATCAGTCAGCACTATCTAGGTCTGCAATATGAGCTAGAACAACTGAGAGCTGCTAAATGGAAAGCATTACTCACAAAAATCAAGACAGTAAACCAAAATGAGAACCACCTTTTCTAGTTTCAGCTATCTAAAAGTGAGATGTCTCACCTAATCTTATCACCTTAATACCCTCTAAAGAACAGTGAAAGACACTGATCAATATGAATGACCAATATATGATCAATTCCCTTCCATGAATGCCTAGAACAGATTAACAGCTAAAGCTACAGTGAACACCAGCTGTTCAGGGAAAAATGTCCAAGGTGATTATGCTCATGCATTGTGACTGCATGAGTTATGAGTTTTCTTCTATCTTCTACCAGTTTCGCAGACATGTATAATTTTTATTCCTGCAGATCTACTGAGCAAGTTGGTAGGCATCTAAACTATGATGAGGCTTTAGAAATGTACAAGACACAAACTTGTCTGTGTCAAAGGCGGAGGGTTCAAAAAAAAAAAAAAAAAAAAAAAAAAAAAACTGAGTCAAACTTCACAAGCAGTGAATGCAGCGATCTGTTTCACAGCCCTCCTCTGAAACCAGACTGTGAACAAGTATGACTCATTCCAAATTCAGCCCTGTGGATTTTTGTTAGGCTGCAATGTAAACACACAAACAACTTTTACCCACTCTGGACTTATTCAAAAGCAGAAATGGAAAAGATAGCTTAGGACCACTCTGCTCTTGGTTTCCTCTTCATCAGAGCTATCCTACAACAAAGACAAACACTGAACTGTGATCTAGCTCCTTGCAGAAAGCTTTTTAAAAATTATCCTTGAAGAGCTAATTGCAATATGTAAGCTACCAATCCAAGTATTGTTGGAAGTCCTGCTGATGCCCGAGAAAACTAAAGAAATAGAAGAGACTGATACTTCCTTTCCTATCCAGATTAATGCCTACTCTTTATGTTACTAATATTGAAGCTATATGTCTGGTCTCCATCCAAAGCATAATGAAAGCATGAAATCTACTCACCTCATAAGATTCATTAGGGAAAATAGTACAAGTTTTTTTAGGAGTGGTTGGTGTTAGACCTGTAGTTGAACTTGAGCCATTAACTGGAGGAGTTGTGCTGTGTGTAGAACTTCCTGTAGTGGTGACTGCAGTTGATGTTGCAGTAGGCCCAGATGTAGTAGTTGAGACAGGGGGAAGAGTTTTGAAGGTGGTGGAGATGCTGGTTGTTGCATTGATTGTGATAAAACTACTAGAGGTGGTTCCTGAAGTGATGGTAAAGCTTTCTGTTGGAGTAGTACCAGAGGTGGTGGTTGACACAGGGCTGGTTGATGTAGGTGATGTTGTTGGAGTAGTAACAGTTGCAGAGGTTGTTGTTGGGGTACTTGTTTCTGTTCCTGCTGTGGTGGTGGGGGGAGTGGACACTGAGGGTGTGGGGCCTGAAGTGGTGGTCTTGGTGGTTGATGTTGTTTCAGTGAATGGGGTTGTTGATACAGGTGGTTGTGTTCCTGTAGGGCTGCTTGGTCCCGAGGTTGTGGTGGTGCTAGGGGTGGAAGTGGGGGTAGAGAATCCTGTTGGAGGGGTTGGGGTCCTGGTGGTAGTAGTCTCATGGATAGTTGTTTCTGTTACTGGTGTGGTGCTGGTGGATCTTGAGGGTGTGGGGCCTGAAGTGGTGGTCTGGGTGGTTGATGTTGTTTCAGTGACTTCAGATGTGGTAGCTGTCACTGGGCTTGTTGACACTGGTGATGTTGACTGTTGACTAGTGGTGCTTGCAGTAGACACTGTACTTATTTCTGTCGTTCTTGTTGTTGGCAGTGGGGTAACTGAAGGAGTAACTGGAGTGCTTTCTGTTGTCGGCGTCTCTGGTTCAGGTGTCTCTTTAAGATAGGAAGAAAACACAGTATTTTAAGTAAGGAAATTGCATTTTCTTCCTAATGTCATCTCATTTTCCACTAAGCATACATAGTTCAACAAGCCTAAGCATAGGATCTTTATATAGAAATAAAGCAGAAGTTTTAACGGTTTTGTTAATCACTGAGAGATTATTAACAAAGTATCCTGCCTCTTGCATAGTAGACATTGATATAAACACTCTATCAACAATCAGTGTCAGAGGGGACATCTTCCACAGTATTAAAACTTTATATTGCATGGAAGAGTCCAGCAATCCAAGATCCATGTGGAATCCACTGAGTAGATCAATGAACTGTGGTTAATACTGTATTGCTATCATACTATATTCTATGGAAAGACCATTATTCCCTGCGCTGCTTCATGTGGCACGTTCATACCACCACTGATTATGGACATTATGGTCATTTGACTCTACAGAAACGGAGCTGTTGCTGGAGCAGTCTGTGTTCCATTTCTAATGCCAAGGCCTTTAAGACTACTCACACACAAGCTATTTTGGAATGCTACAAACCCAAAATACACTTTTCTGCTTTTTCACATGGCCAGTTTTCATTATGATTGTTAATGGAGACTCCTTTAAGTCTCCTTCAGTTTTTGATTAGGATGTTAAAAAGTGTTTATGACTCTCACAGGCCAGCCTCAGAGCCATCTATTTGTGCTTTTATAGCATGCTATAAGTGACACATGGTAGAGAGAGAAGCACTGTGTACATAATAAGAGTGCAGTAGTAATGCTAGAAGAATTAAGATATACTGCTTCTGCCCAGGCAGTCCACAAGGACAGTCCTTCAATGAAAACTAATTTACATTTGGGTGGGAACAGGCAAACTCCTTCATGTACTTCATGCCCTTTAACAGAGGCAGATGAACTGGGACAGTAGGGGATATAACATTGCTGCTGAAAGGTCAGATGGGATGTTTTTGGAATACAATCAACTACATTAGTGCAGAGTTTAGAAACTAAAACACACTTTAAGCTGCCAATAAATCCTGCTTTCTAAAATCAGCAAAGAACATGAAACCCTGGGAATTACTTATTGCTTCAGTGGGTGGAACCGACTGGGTTCTGGTATTAATATTTTCAGTAATTGTGGTGGTAGTTGGAACACTGGTTATTGTGCTTGGAGGGCTGGTGGTGGTGGTGGGAGTCTCCGGTGACGTAGAAGTGGTTGTTGATTTTGGCGTGCTCAGTGTGGATGGAGTAGTGCCTGTTAGAAACAGCAGGGACAGAGAAAACAGACAAAGGCATCAGTGGGACTCAGGTGAACTCAACAGAAGCTGCACATCAGGAAGCAGCCACAGAGCTGGAAAGGTCAGATTATTCTAGCACCAGCCCTTCCTTTCTGGCCCCAAAAAGCAAAATATTTGAAATCCGTGCACACACAGGGTCAGGTCCCTTCCCTCTTAGCAAAGAGATGGTGGGGGAAGGTATTTCTTACAAAATCAGAGAGACCTACCAATAGGTAAGAGATGAGAAGGAGCAATGCTTTTGATCTTGCTGGGGCTTTCTATCTCCATGTCATTATCTAGAACACCACACTAAATCCTCAGGAAAGAGCTGAGATGGGAAGCTGTGATCAGGGAAGGAAGCATCCCCAGCAGTATTTTCCTGCCTGACTGGCATGTGGTTTTCTCAATGTCATCCTGGTAAGTGTCTTCTCAGAGTACTAGTGGATCTGATCAGCTAAAAACCACAGTTCCCAGAAAGTCACAGTCTGCAGAAAGAAACTCTTTCCAAAAGCATATCCTATCCTACATCTATAACAGCTGTGAAGAATTAGCACTGACAGTGCAAAGGAACAGGAGAGTGGGAGGAAGACTTACACAGTAATGTCCAATCAGTGCCTAAAATGCCAGTACTGAAAAACCAAAGCCATGCCACAATTGCACATATGTCCAGTGAATATGTTCTGGCCAGCTGAGGGACAAGGTCCAGCAGCAAAAAAAGGCAAGGTATCCCATCAGTTCAAGACCTGTATAAGCTGAGCATCAGTATGAAACACCTCCTCTGAGCCTTTTCGAATGAGGGAAGACCAGATCTTTTGCCCGGAACCACAAAACCTTTTTCCTTCTTCAATAGCCAGATGAAAGGCAAGTTTTAAGCAATGGTTCTTCCAGTGTTGCCCTGAAGTTATACCCATCCCTGATCCATCTGAGACGAACAATTTGAGGTGCTCATGTACCTTCAGGGCAACAGGACAGTAGCAAGCAACAGCACAGGACAGAGAAGTACCTGGAGTTGGTGTGGTGGTGGTGTATGTTGGTGTTGGTGAGGATGTGCTTGAAGTAGTTGAGGTGGGCGTTGGTGGTCCAGTAACAGTGGTTGTTGTGCTCGGAGGGCTGGTGGTGGTGGTGGGAGTCTCCGGTGACGTAGAAGTGGTTGTCGATTTTGGTGTGCTTGGTGTGGATGGAGTTGGGACTGTTAGAAAAAGCAGGGACAGAGAAAACAAAGGCACAAAGGCATTAGTGGGACTAATTAGTGGGACTCAATGTGAACTGAAAAGTAGCTGCAGCTGGCAGAGAGCTAGAGAGCTCAGCTTAGCACAGCAATGGTCCCTAGCACCAGCCCTGGATTTCTGTGTGTAGAAAGAAGAATATTTGAAATCAATGCACAGAAAGTATCATGGCTCTCCTCTCCTAGCAGAGACTGGGCATAGTGCTGGAAGGTGATTCTCACAAAATCAGAGAGACCTACCAATAGGTAAGAGATGAGGAGAAGTAACGCTGTGGTCTGGCTGGGGCTTTCTATCTCTGCCTCATTACCTGACTACTAACTCATTGAGTAAGAGCTGAGATGGGAATCTGTGATCAGGGAAGGAAGTATGTACAGCACATGCTCCTGACTGATTGGCATGTGGTTTTCTCAATGTCGCACTGAGAAGTGGCTTCTCAGAGTACTAGTGGATCTGATCAGCCAAAGATGCAGGTCAAAGAATGTCACAGTCTGCAGAATGAAACTGTTCTGAAAGGAAGGCAGAGGAATCTGTCTTCCTACATCTATAACCACTAAAACATTTTTGCACTAACAGGACAAAGGAACAGGAGAGAGGGAAGACTGTCTACATTCTGCAAGTTATGTACAAATAGTGCCTAAAATTCCAGTGTCAAAAAACCCAAAGCCATACAGTGACTAAATTCTGGCCAGCTGAAGGACAATGTCGAGCAGCAAAAAAAACAAGATTTCCCATCAGTTCAGCATCTGTGTAACAAAGGTCCAGCAGCAGCACAAAATTTTTCATAGCAGGCTCTCTGTCAGGGAAGCCAAGACCATTTCCCCAGAATGACAAAACATTTTTCTTTCTTCAATAGCCAGATGAAAGGCAAGTTTTAAGCAATGGTTCTTCCAGTGTTGCCCTGAAGTTATACCCATCCCTGATCCATCTGAGACGAACAATTTGAGGTGCTCATGTACCTTCAGGGCAACAGGACAGTAGCAAGCAACAGCACAGGACAGAGAAGTACCTGGAGTTGGTGTGGTGGTGGTGTATGTTGGTGTTGGTGAGGATGTGCTTGAAGTAGTTGAGGTGGACGTTGGTGGTCCAGTAACAGTGGTTGTTGTACTTGGAGGGCTGGTGGTGGTGGTGGGAGTCTCCGGTGACGTAGAAGTGGTTGTCGATTTTGGTGTGCTTGGTGTGGGTGGAGGTGGGGCTGTTAGAAAAAGCAGGGACAGAGAAAACAAAGGCACAAAGGCATCAGTGGGACTCAACAGAAACTCAAAAGAAGCTGCACATGAGGCAGCTGCCACAGAGCTAGAGAGGTTAGCCCACCCTTAGCACAGCAATCATCCCCAAAACCCGCCCTTCCTTTCTGGCCATATTAAGCAGAATCCTCGACATCCATGCACAGAGAGGGTCATGGCTCTCCTCTCCTAGTGAAGAGATTAAAGATGGTGCTGGAAGGTGCTTCTCACAAAATCAGACAGACCAACCAATAGGTAAGAGATGAGGGGAAGCAATGCTTTGTATCCAGCTAGGGCTTTCTGTCCCTGCCTCATTATCTGAACACTTTGCTAAATCCTGGTGTAAGAGCTGAAATGGGAAGCTGTAATCAAGGACAGAAGCATGCACATGATTGGCATGTGATTCCTTCTGTGTTGCAATGTCAGTCTGATGCAGGGCTTCCCTGGGCACTAGTGGAACTCATCACCCAAAAATTACAGTTCACAACAAGAGGCAGTCTGCAAAGTTCCCAAAAAGGCTGGCAGGAGAATCATTCCTTCTTACATGTTAAACAGCTGACAAGCACTAACACACAGTGGGTGCAGAAGGAGGAGAAAAGGAGGAAAGTCTACACAACTGAACCCAAACAGAGCCTGAAATGCACTTCCACAAGACCAAGTCCCTCTGCAATTGCACTCCATGGGTCCAGTGACTACATTCTGGACAGCTGAAGGACACGGTCCAAAAGCTGCAAATGCAATGTTACCCATTCGTTCAGCATCTGTCTAAGCTGGGCACCAACATGAAATACCTCCTTGAAGGGCTGTTGAGTCAGGAAAGACAAGACCTTCCCCCAAGAACCCCCTAAATCCTTGTTCCTTATGAAATAGCCAGCCCAAGGGCCAGATTTGGCCACAGGACTTTTCCTGGGACTCCCAGAAGTTACACCCATCCCTGATCCCACCTAGAGACACATATGGAGGTGTTTCATGGACCTTCACTACTCCCAAAGCAAGGCCAGACATGACAATAGAACTAGAGAATTATTTGTTGATTCTGTTCCTGGGGGCATAGGGGTTTTGATGAGAATTACTGCTTGTGGAACATACTTTGAGGAGTTGAGATGGTTGTTGTTGATCCAGAAACAGTGGTGGTGGTGCTCAGAGGGCTGGTAGTGGTAGTGGGAGTCTCCGTTGATGTGGAAGTGGTTGTCGGTTTTGGTGTGCTCGGTGTGGATGGAGTTGGGGCTGTTAGAAAGAGCAGGGAGAGAGAAAACAGACAAAGGCACAAAGGCATCAGTGGCACTCAGCTGGATCTGAACAGAAGCTGCGCATGAGGCAGCTGCCACAGAGCAAGAGAGGTCAGCCGACCTTTGCACAGCAAAGGTCCCTAGCACCAGCCCTTCCTTTTTCAGCCCAGAAAGAAAACTCATTGACATCCATCTAAAGAGATGGTCATGGCCCTCCTTTCATAGTGAAGAGACTAGGGCTGGTGCTGGAAGGTGCTTCTCACAAAATTAGGGAGACCTACCAGTAGGTAAGAGATGAGAAGGAGTAATGCTTTGGATCTGGCTGGGGCTTTCTATCTCTGGCTCATTACCTAAGCAACTTGCTAACTCATGGAGTAAGAACTCAGGGGAATCTGTGCTCCAGAAATGGATCATGCAGCAGAACACGTTTCTGCCTCATAGTCATGTCATTTTCCCAACGACACCCTGATAAAGGACATCACAGAGTACTAGTGGATTTGATTAGCCAAAGACCAGAGTTCACCGCAAGAGGTAGCATGTAGCCAAAAGCATGGGAGAGGAATCATTCCTTTCTACATCTATAACCAAAGATTAGCACAGACATGGCCAAGAAGGAGAAGAGAGGGAAAAAAGTCTATACAGCTGAGCCTAAAACAGTGCCTAAATGCCAGTGTCAAGAACCAAAGTAATTGTCCAACTGCACATCATGGGTTCTGTGACTATATTCTGCCCAGCGGAAGCACATGGCCCAACAGCTGCAAAAGCAGCTGAACATGTGTCTCAGCTGGGCAGGAAGATGAAATACCTCTTCAGAGCACTGTTGCATCAAGAAAGACAAGAACTTCTTCCTGGGACCCCTGCATCTTCATCACTTTTAAAAGAGCCCAAATGAACTTTGGGCACAACTCATTACCTGGAATGCCCAGAAGTTACATCCTTGATCCCACACAGAGCCACAAATGGATATACTCACAGACATTCATTACTGCCACAGCCAGGCCAGACATGACAACAGAACCAGAGAATTATTTGTTGATTCTGTTCCTGGGGGCAGAGGGGTTTTTATGGGAATTACTAGCACTGGGAACATACTTTGAGGAGTTGAGATGGTTGTTGTTGATCCAGAAACAGTGGTGGTTGTGCTCGGAGGGCTGGTGGTGGTGGTGGGAGTCTCCGTCGGTGAGGTAGTGGTTGTCGATTTTAGTGTGCTCAGTGTGGATGGAATTGTGCCTGTTAGAAACAACAGGGACAGAGAAAACAAAGACACAAATACATGAGTGGGACTCAATAGCAGCTGAACAGAAGCTGTACATGAGACAGTTACCACAGAACTAGAGAGGCGAGCCCACCCTTAGTACAGCAAAGATCCCTAGCATGAGCCCATCCTTTCTGCCCCAGAAAGCAAACTCCTTGAAATTTGTGCACACACAGGGTCATAGCCCTCCTCTCCTAGTAAGAGACTGGGGATGGTGCTGGAAGGTGCTTTGCACAAAATCAGAAAGACCTACCAACAGGTAAGAGATGAGAAGGAGCAATGCTTTTGATCTTGCTGGGGTTTTATATCTCTGCCTCATTATCTAGAACACCACACTAAATCCTCAGGAAAGAGCTGAGATGGGAAGCTGTGATCAGGGAAGGAAGCATGCACAGGAATATGTTCCTGGCTGATTGGCATGTGGTTTTCTGATGTCAGGAGTTCTCAGAGTACCAGTGAATTTTGTCAGGCAAAGACCATAGTTCACAGAAAGTCACAGTCTGTAGAGTGAAACTGTTTGCAAAAGTGTGGCAGAGGAATGCTTTCTTCCTGCGTCTATAATAGTTGAGAAGCAATCGTATTGACAAGGGAAACGAGCAGGAGAGAAGGAAGAAAGACCACACATCTGTGCCTAAAGAGACCTTGAAAAGCAAGTGTTACAAAATCAAGCCCCTCTTCATTAAACTCCAGGGACACCACTCTGGCTGGCTGAAAGACAAAGTCCAACAGCAGCAAAAGCTACTAAGTCCTTGTTGTTTCTGAAACAGAGATGAAGGGACAGCTATGGGCAAAGGCTGTTTCAGGGGCTGTCCAGAAGTTAATTCATTCTTGATACCATACAGAGGCAAAAAAATAGGTGTTCACAGACACTCAGTACTCCCAAAGGCAAAGAACATATGAGACTACAAAATCTAAAAGTACCTGGAGTGGTGGTGGTGGTGTATGTTGGTGTGGGAGAGGATGTGCTTGAAGTAGTTGAGGTGGGCGTTGGTGGTCCAGTAACAGTGGTTGTTGTGCTTGGAGGGCTGCTGGTAGTGGTGCCGGTGGTGCTGCCAGAGCTGGTGGTGGTGCTGGGAGTCTCCAGTGACGTGGTGGGCAATTCAGATGTAGGGGATGCCGTGCTTGGTGTGGATGGAGTTGGAGCTGTTAGAAAGAGCAGGGACAGAGAAAATGAAGCAGCTGCCCCAGACATAGAGGGGTCAGCCCATTCTTAGAACAAGAAAGGTATCTAGCACCAGCCCCATCTATTTCTTGCCCAAAAAAGCAGAATCCTTGAAATCCATGCACAGAGATGATCATGTCCTTCCTTTCTTTTTGAAGAGACTGGGGGTGGTTCTGGAAGGTGCTTCTCACAAAATCAGAAAGACCAAGCAAGAGACGAGGAGAAGTAATGCTTTGGATCTGGCTGGGGCCTTCTATCTCTGCCTCATTACCTGTACACCTCACCAAATCCTAGGGCATGAGCTGAGATGGGAATGTGTGCTTTAAGAATGAAGCACACACAGGAATATGTTCCTGCCTCGTTGTCATAAGAGTTCCACTGATTGGATGTCAGCCCAGTCAAGGGCTTCCCAGAGGATTAGTGAATCTCATCAGCCAAAGACCACACTTCAGAGGTAGTGACAGTCTGCAGAGTGCAACTGTTCCCAAAAGCCTGCCACAGAAATCCTTGGTTTCTACATCTATAAACACTGGCATCCACTAGTGCTGACATTGCAAAGGCAGAGAAGATAGTGAATAAAGTCTGCAAAATTTTTCCCAGAAAGCACCTGAAATTGCAGTACCACAAGAGTAATCCCCACTGTAATTTCACACCTTAAGTCCACTGACTACATTCTCAACAAATAAAGGACAAGGTCTGACAAGAACTCAAGGTTCCCCATCAAGTTAGCATCTAAGCCCAGCAGGAGTGCCAGCCTGAAATACCTTCTTAGATACTTGTTGAGTAATGGAAGCCAAGAGCTTCTCACAAGGAACCCTGAATTCTCATCACTTCTGAAACATCCAACCCAAGTTCCAGCTTCAGGCAAAGAACCTTTCATGGCATGCACAGCAGTTACAGCCATCCCCAGTTCCATACTGAGGCACAAATGGAGGTGCTAACAGATCTTCATTACTCCCAAAGCAAGGGGATACAAGATCAGGCAAGGCAGAAGTACCTGGAGTTGATAGGGTGGTTGAATATTCCCATATGGCTGTGGATGTGCTTGAAGTAGTTGAGAATGTTGTTGATGAGCCAGTAACAGTTGTTGTTGTTGTCTTGGGAGTGCTGATGCTGGTGGTGCTGCTGGGGATGCTGCTGGGGGGCATCGTGGTGCTGGAAGTGATGATGGGAGTTTCAGATGCTGTTGGAGTGGGAGTAGTTGGTGTTTCTGGTGGAGTAGTTGGGCTCGGTGTCTTCGTAGGTGGGGCTGTTAGAAACAGCAGAGACAGAGAAAACAGACAAAGGCACAAAGGCATCAGTGGGACTCAACAGAAACTCAACAGAAGCTGCACATGAGGCAGCTGCCACAGAGCTAGAGAGACCCTTAGCACAGCAATCATCCCCAGAACCAGCCCTTCCTTTCTGGCCATATTAAGCAGAATCCTCGACATCTATGCACAGAGAGGGTCATGGCCTTCCTCTCCTAGTGAAGAGAACCAAGATGGTGCTGGAAGGTGCTTCTCACAAAATCAGACAGACCAACCAATAGGTAAGAGATGAGGGGAAGCAATGCTTTGGATCTGGCTGGAGCTTCCTATCTCTGCTTCATTACTGGAACACCTCACTAATTCATAGGAGATAAGGAGAAATAGGAGATAAGAGTGGAAGCTGGGAAGGAAAGCATGCCCAGGAGTATGTTCATGCCTGATTGGCATATGATTCCCCCTGTATTTCAATGTCAGACTCATGAAGGGCTTCCCTGGGCACTAGTGGGTCTCACCAGGTGAGGTGTCAGCCAAAGACCAAAACTTCACAGCAATAGGTACTCTGCAGAGGGAAAATATTCCCTCAAGGGCTGGCAGGAGAATCATTCCTTCTTACATGTTAAACAGCTGACAAGCACTAACACTGAGAGGGCATAGGAGGAGGAGAAAGGGTTGAGCCCAAACAGAGCCTGAAATGCACTTCCACAAGACCAAGTCCCTCTGCAATTGCACTCCATGGGTCCAGTGACTACATTCTGGACAGCTGAAGGACACGGTCCAAAAGCTGCAAATGCAATGTTACCCATTCGTTCAGCATCTGTCTAAGCTGGGCACCAACATGAAATACCTCCTTGAAGGGCTGTTGAGTCAGGAAAGACAAGACCTTCCCCCAAGAACCCCCTAAATCCTTGTTCCTTATGAAATAGCCAGCCCAAGGGCCAGATTTGGCCACAGGACTTTTCCTGGGACTCCCAGAAGTTACACCCATCCCTGATCCCACCTAGAGACACATATGGAGGTGTTTCATGGACCTTCACTACTCCCAAAGCAAGGCCAGACATGACAATAGAACTAGAGAATTATTTGTTGATTCTGTTCCTGGGGGCATAGGGGTTTTGATGAGAATTACTGCTTGTGGAACATACTTTGAGGAGTTGAGATGGTTGTTGTTGATCCAGAAACAGTGGTGGTGGTGCTCAGAGGGCTGGTAGTGGTAGTGGGAGTCTCCGTTGATGTGGAAGTGGTTGTCGGTTTTGGTGTGCTCGGTGTGGATGGAGTTGGGGCTGTTAGGAACAGCAGGGAGAGAGAAAACAGACAAAGGCACAAAGGCATCAGTGGGACTCAATGTGAACTCAACAGAAGCTGTGCATGAGGCAGTTGTGCTGGGGGAGGTTTAAGTTGGATGTTAGGAGGAATTTCTCCAGAGAACAAATGATTAGACACTGCAATGGACTGCCCAAGGAAGTGGCAGAGCCACAGTGTCTGGTGGCTTTTAAGACAAAAGTGGATGTGGCACTTAGCGCCATCATCTAAGTGACATTGTGGTGTTCAGGCAAAGGTTGGACATGATGATCTCAGAGATTTTTTCTGACCTAACTGATTCTGTGAATATATTCCTGCCTGATCATCATGTGATATCCCTGTGGTGCAATGAAGGCGTGATGAATGACTTCCCTGGGCACTAGTGAATCTCATGAAAGGCCACAGTTCACAACAAGGGGCAGTCTGCAGAGAGAAATTGTTCCCAAATGTCTCGCAGGGGAATCCTTCATTCCAACACCTATTACAACTGACAACTGTTAGCACTGAGAAGGCGAAGGGGAAAAAACTTGGCACAGCTGTGCCCAAACAGAACTTGATACGCCACTGCCAGTAGACCAAGCCCTACTTCAATTGAACTCCATGGATCCAGTCGTTCCATTCTGGCCAGCAGAAGGATGGCCCAAAACCAGCCAAAGCAACATTTCTCATCAGTTTAACATCTCTCTAAGCTGGGCACCAGCATGCTCTACCTCCTTAGAGCCTTGTTGAGTCAGGTAAGCCAAGACCTTCTTCCCGTGACCCCTATATTCTTGTTCCTTATGAAAAAGCCAGCCCAGAACACCAGGTTAGGAACAGCCCATTTCCTGGAATACCTGGGAATTATACCCATCCCCGATTCCATACAGGGGCAGAAAGGTGATTAGGGACCTTCAATACTCCAATAGCAGGGAAACGTGTGAGAGCACAAAATGTAGAAGTACCTGGAGTTGGTGTGGTGGTGGTGTATGTTGGTGTGGGCGTGGATGTGCTTGGAGCAGTTGAGGTGGGTGTTGGAGGTCGAGTAATGGTTGTCGTGCTCGGGGTGCTGATGCTGGTGGTGCTGCTGGGGGGCATCGTGGTGCTGGCAGTGGTGGTGGGAGTCTCCGGTGACGTGGAAGTGGTTGTCGATTTTGGTGTGCTTGGTGGGGATGGAGTTGGGGCTGTTAGAAAGAGCAGGGACAGAGAAAACAGACAAAGGCACAAAGGCATCAGTGAGACTCAATGCCAACTCAACAGAAGCTGCACATCAGGCAGTGGCCACAGACCTAGACAGATCAGCCCACCCTTAGAACAACAAAGGTCCCCAGAATCAGTCATCCTGCTCTGGCCCCTGAAAGCAGAATCCTTGACATGCATGCACACAGAGGGTGATGGCCCTCCTCTCCTAGGTAGGAGACTGGGAATAGTGCTGGAAGGTGCTTCTTACAAAGTCAGAATGACCTACCAATAGGTAAGAAATGAGGAGCAGTAATGCTTCTGAACTTGCTGGAGCTTTCTAGCTCTGCCTCATTACCTGAACACCTCACTAAACACGGGAGTAAGACCTGAGATGGGAACGTGTGGTGAGGGAAGGAAGCATGCACAGGGATATCTTGCTGCCTGTTTGTCCTGTGATTTTCCAGTATCAGCCTGATAAAGGGCTCCCCAGTGTACTAGTGGATCTGATCAGCCAAAGACCACAGTTCACAGCAAAGGGTAGTATGTAGACTGAAACTGTTCCCAAAATCCTGCCAAAAGAATCCTTCCTTCTTACACCTAGAGTAGCTGAACACCATTAACAGTACAAGGGTAAAGGAGGAGTAGAAAGGTGGGAAACTATACACAGCTGTGCCCAAATAGAGCCTGAAATGCAAGCGCCACAAGACCAAGTCCCACTCCAATTGCACTCCATGGGTCTAGTGACTACATTCTGGCCAGCTGAAGGATTAGGACCAACAGAGGTAAAAGCAAGGTTTCCATTACTTCAGAATCTGTACAAGATGAGGCACCAGGATGAAATACCTCCTGGGAGCACTGCTGAGTCAGGGAAGTCAAAACCTACTCCCCAAGACCCCTAAATAATTGCTCCTCCTGAAACAGCCAGACCAAGAGACCTGCTTTGGGCACATGACATTTCCTAAGACATCCAGAAGTTACACCCATTCCCAATGCCATCCAGAGCCACAAATGGAGGTTCTCTCAGACCTTCAGTACTCCCAGGACAAGGTCAGAAATTACAGAAGAACCAGATCATTATTTGTTGGTTGTGTTGTTAGATACAGAGGAATTTGGTGGGAATTACGACTGCTGGGAACATACTTTCAGGAGTTGAGATGGTGGTTGATGATCCAGTAACCGTTGTTGTTGTTGTTGTTGTTGTGCTTGGAGGGCTGGTGGTGATGGTGGGAGTCTCCGGTGACGTGGAAGTGGTTGTCGATTTTGGTGTGGATGGAGTTGGGGCTGTTAGAAAGAGCAGGGACAGAGAAAACAGACAAAGGCACAAAGGCATCAGTGAGACTCAATGCCAACTCAACAGAAGCTGCACATCAGGCAGTGGCCACAGACCTAGACAGATCAGCCCACCCTTAGAACAACAAAGGTCCCCAGAACCAGTCCTCCCTTTCCGGCCATAGAAAGCAGAATCCTTGACATGCATGCACACACAGGATGGGTCACAGCCCTCCTTGCCTTGTGAAGACACTGGGAATAGTGCTGGAAGGTACTTCTCACAAAATCAGAGGGATCTACCTATAAGCAAGAGAGGAGGAGCAGTAATGCTTTTCATCTACTGGGGGCTTTCTATCTCTGCCTCATTACCTGAACACCTCATTAACTCATGAAGTAAGAGCTGAGACAGGAATAGGTGTTCAAGGATGGATGTATGCACAAGAGGATCAAGATCACCACCGCAGAGGAGGACATAGAGCCCTGTATTCTTGCTCCTTACGAAACAACCAGCCCAAGGGCCACCTCTGGGCAAAGGCCATTTCAGGAGATATGCAACAATTAGCCCAATCTCAGATCCCAGAGAGAGGCACAAATGGAGGTGCTCACAGACCTTCAGTTCCCCACAGCAAGGAAACACATGAGTGCACAGATCAGAGAAGTACCTGAAGTTGACGTGGTGGTGGTGGTGTATGTTGGTGTGGGCGTGGATGTGCTTGAAGTAGTTGAAATGGGTGTTGTTGAGACAGGAGGAGCTGTGGTTGTCTGTGAGGTGCTGCCACTAGTGGTGGTGCTGCTGGGGGGCACCGTGGTGGTGGTGGTGGTGGTGGTGGTAGGGCTGGGAGTCTCCACTGCTGTTGACGTTGGAGCGGTGGTTGATATTGGAGGGGACACACTGCTTGTTGTGGGGGAAGATGTCGAAGTTGTGGTGCTCGTGGTGCTTGGAGTTGGAAGACACTCTGGTTTGTTGGGGGTGCAGCAGACACTGATCTCGTAGTTGAGGCAGACTGGCATTGGTATTATACCTCCTATCTGCTGATCTTTATTGTTGCAGATGAGCCCTACATTAACGTTACATTCCACTTTCTGCCCTAAATCTGCAATGGAATAGCTAGGGAATTTCTCTGCTCGGCATGAAATATTCTCAACTTTCGCACACTCCCAGGAGGGGTATTTCTTCAAAATGTTCTCAAAGGTTTCGTAGTCACCACCATTCCTGTCAGAACCATCTGGATAGCTCACATCGATCCAGTCCGTCCAGATGCACTCACACGCTGAGAGGAGACAACAAGACGGACAGTTAGAAACAGACAGAAGAGAGACAACAATACAGGGCACCAGCAGCACACACAGGTGGTGCTCTGGGCATCCCCAGGCAGTGCCCCTCAGGCTGCTACTGCACTAGCCAACATGGGCATAAGAAAGCTCAGTGGTGTGGCCAGGTCTCTCCTTCTTGGCCCTAAAAACCACTCCTGGCCCGCGTCAGGACACAGGCAACGCATGAGTTACGTGTGTGTGCCCCACAGCTGGGGCACACTGCTTTGTATGGACACTCGTCTGCAAAAAAACATGCACATAAGACCCATACAGGAGGCAGAGTGGGTCTAAGCAGAGACTCCTGCCACTCTCTCAGCTTCTTGGGCCATGCACATCACCTCAGTATCTCATGGAGAAACCAACCACTGGGAAGGCACCTGATGACAGGGAAAGCAGGCACAGGACACAGGTTGCTGACAAAACCTCAGCTGCTTCCCAGCAGTGCTTCCCAGTGCTTCCCAGCACCACACAGATTGCCACAGACAAGCACCAACGGGAACGCTGGTAGAATCCAGCCGCCCAGAGCTTGTGTCTGTCAGAAGTGGCAATCTGAGCTCTGAAACCAATCCTCAAACTCTGCCAGCAAAAGCCGTGGAAGCATCGTACAGCCCAAACAGCTGGTAAATAGCAGCAATGGCCACAGAAACAAAACAGGAGAGAAAGGAAAGTAGGTCTGCACAGCTGTGCCCAAACAGAGCCTGAAATGCCACGGCCACGAACTTCACCCCCACTCCAGCTGCACACCTTGGGTCCAGTGACTACATTCTGGACAGCTGAAGGACAAAGTCCAATAGCAGCAAAAGCAACATTCCCATCACTTCAGTATCTGGGCACATGTGTGAAATACCTCCATGGAGCACTGTTGAGTCAGGGAAGACAAGACCTTCTCCCAAGGTCCCCTAAATCTTTCCTCCTTTTAAACAGCCAGAACAAGGGTCAGGTTTAGCCACAGGTTGCCCAGAAATTACACCCATCCCTGATCCCTTCCAGAGCCACATATGGAGGTGCTCATGGATCTTCACTACTCCCATAGCAAGGCCAGAAATTACAACAGAGCCAGAGAATTATTTGTTGGTACTGCAGCTGGAGGCACAGGGCTTTGGGCGGGAATTATTTGGTTTTGGAACATACGTGCAGGAGTTCTGATGGTTGTTGTAGTAGTTGTTGTTGTTGTTGTTGGTGTTCTGGTGGTGGTGGTGCTGGTGCCGGTAGTGGTGGTGGTCGTGGTGCTGCTGAGAGTCTCCGCTGATGTGGAAGTGCTTGTCAATTCCGATGTAGGGGATGCTGTGCTCGGTGTGACTGTTGGAAACAGCAGGGACAGAGAAAACAGACAAAGGCACAAAGGCATCAGTGGGACTCAGTGTGAACTGAACAGAAGCTGTGCATGAAGCAGCTGCCCCAGACATAGAGGAGTCAGCGCACCGTTAGCTGAGCAGAGATCCCTAGCACCAACCCTTCCATTCTTGCCCCAGAGAGAAAAATCCTTGAAATCCATGCACATAAGTGGTGATGGCCCTTCTTTCCTAGCTAGGAGACTGGGGATGTTGCTGGAAGGTGCTTCTCACCAAATCAGAGAGACCTACCAAGAGGTAAGTGATGAGGAGCTGTAATGCCTTTTATGTCGCTGGCACTTTCTATCTCTGACTCACTACCTGAACACCTCACAAATCCTTGCAGCATTCACCTTTGTGGTGAATTCATTGTCAGAGATGAAGGTGGGAAGAGGAGTAAGTTCATGCCTGACTGTCACAAAATTTCCTTCTGGTGGTATGTCAGCCTGATGAAGGGCTTCCCAGAGTTCTAGAGTCATCAGTTATCTACAGCTTCCCAGAGTTGCAGATGTCATCAGCAAAAGGCTACAGTTCACAAGAAGTGGCATTTTTTAGTGTAAAACTGTTTCCAAAAGTCTCCCAGTGTAATCCTTGTTTCTAAGATCTAGAACCATTTTCATGCACTTGTACTGACATGCCAAATAAGGAGAAGAAAGGGAAGAAAGTCTGCCCAGCTGTTCCTAGAATGAGAGTGTTGCAGAATAAAGCCCCACTCCAATACCCCTCCATGTGTGGGTCCAGTGCCTATGTTCTGGCCAGCTGAAGGACAAGGTCCAACAGCAGGAAAATCAAGAATTTCCATCAGTTCAGCACCTGTCTAAGCTGGGCACCAGCATGAAATTTTACCTCGGAGTCTTTTGAATCAGGGAAGCCAAGACCTTCACCCTAGGATCCCTAAATCCTTGTTCTTCTTAACCAGCTGGCCAAAAGGCCACCTTTGACCACAGGGCACTTGAGGGGATGAACAGTAATTCCTCCAATCTGCAATCCCATGGAGACACACTAAAGGAGGGGCCAAGGCACCTTCATTTCTCCCATAGCAAAGGAACACATCAGAGAACAGTCCAGAGAAGTACCTGGAGTTGGTGTGGTGGTGGTGTATGTTGGTGTTGGTGAGGATGTGCTTGAAGTAGTTGAGGTGGGTGTTGGTGATCCAATGGTGGTTGTTGTCGGGGTGCTGGTAGTGGTGGGAGTCTCCGGCGTGGAGGGAGTGGTTGTCGATTTTGGTGTGCTTGGTGTGGGTGGAGATGGGGCTGTTAGACAGAGCAGGGACAGAGAAAACAGACAAAGGTACAGAGGCATGAGTGGGACTGAAGAGGAAGTGAACAGAAGCTGTGCATGAGGCAGTGGCCACAGAGCTAGAGAGGTCAGCTCACCCTTAGCACTGCAAAGTCCCTAGCACCAGCCCTCCCTTTCTGTCCCCAGAAAGCAGAATCCTTGACATTCATGCACAGAGAGGGTCATGACCCTCTTTTCCTAGTGAAGATATTAGGCATAATGCTGGAAAGTGCTTCTCATAAAATCAGCAAGACAATGTCAGCCTGAAGAAGGAAGCCTGTGCAGTCCACCCAGATAATGCCTCTAGCAACAGGAGTTTGAAGCATGGCCTACTCTTTTCTCACACAGCAGGTCCTTTTGGGAATATTCTCTCCAGCAGAAACTTAAAAGTCGAAACTCTCCTAAGTAAGGCTTCCTTGCAGACCAACATTTTCTATGATTGTGACCTGCCTTCAGTAGCCAATAGCCCTATATTTCTCCAAAGGCAAAGATCATGGAGTATTTTTCAGTTAAATATCTGGAGATGTTGAAGTTAACAGGGTGAGGACTGATGGTGTATACTCACGTGTTGTGGAATGGACGTGTATGGGTGTGGTGGTAATTTCTGTTGTAGTCCTGGTTGTAGTGGTGCTGCCTATTGTTGTCTTGGTGGTGGTTGCAGTTGAAGCTATAGTAGGTGTAACTGTAGGCCCACAAGGAACTTCCTGCCACTCACAACAGTTTACCCTGATTTCATAATTATAGCAGAGTGGCCACATAGTTACATCTTGCTCATCATTTTTACAGATTAGCCCATATTTAACATTACACTCTACTTTCTGACCAAGTTCTTCTAAGCTCACATCAGGTTTATCCTTAGCCCTGCATTCAATTTTTTCAGGAGCTGTACATATTTTGTTTCCATGTTTTCTTATTTCATCGTATGTTTCATAGTCACCACCACCTTCTTCAGGTTTACTAACATCAAACCACTCAGTCCAATCACAGATTAGTTCTGTGACTACGCATGGAGCTGCAAGAAAAGACAGAGGTTTCAGTCTTTGGAGAGAACATCCTGAGAAGATGCATTTTTTATTTTCTTCCATTAAGGACTAGAGGACTGCATTGCAATTTGTAATCTTTCCAAAGAAAACAGTTCTAAAATCAGTTCTTTATTACTCAGTCTTTGAAGCGGAAGTTGTGCATCAAAATAAAATCACCAAGCTGAAGCCTTTAAAGGTCCTTCTTCTCTCTATACTAATGGCACTTTTGAAATTATTTTTTAAAAATTATTCATTTTTGTTTAAAATATATTTTTTTCTGTATTGATTGTCTTTAATTTACTCTTCCTTTAAATATTCCTTTGACATTTTTAACAACATTGTTTTGTATTTATAACTTACTTGTAGTGACTGGGCGGCTTGCAGTGGAAACTGAAATACAACAAAAAGAGATTATCATTTCAAAAGAAATATAATAGTATTTTTTTTGCTGACACTCCTAACATTATTTCTCCTATCCCATTAGGATATTGAAAATCTAACAATTTTTTTTCAAAAATAGGAAGACACCCTATACATTTATACTTACAATTTTTTTCACGAGAAGTAAATCAACTCAAAATGCTAAAAGTCTTTCTTAGTGTGGTGTGATAAAACAATCCATAAATATTGCTCTGTGTCAACTACAATCCCAGATAATTGTACATTCTATATTTAAAATATTTTCCTTAAAGAAAACAATTTTTTAGATCTCATCTGTATTGATGATTTACCTGCGGTGGTGGTGGTAAGAGTACTGTGAGGGGAGGAGGTTGAGATGGTTGTAGGTGAAGATGTTGGACAAGGATAGACTTCACCAGGAACTACAGAGCCATTTGCTGCACAAATGTATGTTATACATATGTCGCCGTCCTGTACGTGTCCCACAGTAGCACCCTCTTCATAACTCGTTCCATTGATGACACAAGGACACCCTGCAAGAAAGAGCTTTACTGTGCAATTTTTCTACCACCATGTAAGAGGCAGAGGCAAAATACTTATGGACAAGAGAGCATTTACATGAGTCATGCATGTTTTTCAGACCTGTACCTGGAGCTTAGATCTACTATATTGTGCAAATTTATCTTTACATTGAAAGCAATGTTAGAACATATTTAATCAACTCCTGAATAAAATGCCTGGTGGTACAACTTAGAAAGCAGGTTTTAAAATGTTCTAAGAGAAGTAATAATTGAAATTTACTACCTGAACACTTTTATATTAATAACTACATGTTCAGGAAGTGCAAACTCATAATGAAATCCATTAGTTTGGATATGGGACATGGGGAGAAAGACTGAAAGGGCATGAGAAAAAGGTTTAACCAGGAGTACTAACAGCAAGGTTCAACAAAAGTGCTGCCAAATTTTCTTTAGTCACAACTTTGACTGCACTGGAAAGAATTATTCTAAATCAATACTAAGCCTTTGTAAAGTCAGACAGAGCAGTTCTGTGCATTTTCTTTTCTTTTTGTTTCCAGAAGAACCCAAACGTTATTTACCTGGGACTGGTTTACACTCTATGGATCCTGATGGGACACAGACACTAAAAGAAAAATTTTCAAAAATTAAAATGTTGCTGATGTTTTATGACACCTGTTAGCAGAGTGAAGAGCACAGAAACATAGATATTTGTCACTTGATCTTCATTCACACTACTAGATATTTTTCTGGGTATATTTTCTAGTATTGCTTACCATTTTTCTTTCAAAGTCACCACTTGCAGTTTAATTGCAAGTTGCAATACTGCAATAACAACTGTTTTGCAGAGTGAACTTTCAGCTAAATCAGATTATTTTCTGGTCACCATGTGGAGCCAGAGGTGTAAGTGCTGTCATTGCTAACACTCTAAGCATGAACAGTTAGGACTCAACTATCTCTTTCAGGGCAAGAGTATTGCAGACTACAGTTTTAAGTGAGAATGCAAGGCAGAGCAGCCCCTCTCTTCCCAAAGAGCAGTGAGAATTGAAAGGTTGTTTTAGAAGTTCATTGAGGTTTCATTATATAATTGATGACAGTTGACAGGTATAATTAATTAATTTGCTGATACACTTATTATAATAACACTACCAACCTGAAATCTGGCTTATTAAGGGTTTGGAAAATTATGAAATGCAAGAATATACCAGCTCTTCAGCTGAAGCTGCATCTCTGTTTGAGGCCCAGTAAAGTAAATTAAGGACTCTGTATACACTAATTATTTTGTGAATTACTGCAAATAATTTTTATATACCATATTGTACAGTTTTCTTTTGTAACTTCTTGCCCAGGGAGTACATGGGTTCCATCCTCGAGGTAACATCCACATTGATCTTCAGTCACACATTGCTTTGTCTCTTCATTATAAATAGGCTTGTCCTTAGGGCATCTGGGGTAGCAACCTATTGATGACAGGTAGAACAGAATAAAGATGAAGAAAAAGTACAAAAAGTTAACTCAGTGATATGTTAACTTCTGAAGGTAAACTATTCTCACTGAATCAAGCATAGTGAAAAAAATCTAAAACTTCCCATTCAAATCAAACTGCGGACAATTAGTCCTTCCAAAAGACTTCAACAGTTCTCATTGATAATACTGGTGTGAGGAGGATTAAATAAGTTTTTTTATGAACACTAGTGAAGTTTCTTTCTCTTAGTTCAATACCTTGGAGAAACCCCTAATTCATTAATTTCTATGGGCAACTAGTAATTTTAAGACAAAGAAACACCCCAATTTTTGTATAGATCACTTTATCAATAATACTTTTGTGCAGAATATGGAAGCAGATTCACTAACAAAGAGGTTTTTCACTACATTTCTTGGAATATTAGGCCTTGTTTATATGCCTAGAACACACCAGGTATCTCTACCTCAAACAGATAATTTATCTGTGTTTTTCTTTACCCACAGGTACTGATCCAAACTTCACTGCAAGGGATTAATTGACTGTCAATTGTCATTCCATTTTTTATGTAAATCTACTTAAAAATATTATTCTGTTGTTATTATTATTGTATCTCCTTCCTCCAAATAACCTCTTATTAAGTCCAATTATTAATGACATGAAGTTCTGTTTTTACTGTACTGGAGTTCTAAATAGCCTTTAAACTGAAGCACCATGTAATTAACTGGTACTTAAAAGTCACTTTACACTGCCAGACTGTGTGCCAGACTGTGACTTAAGATGTCATAACAAAAATAGGTGTGTTCTATATTACTATTGAAATTAAGCAACGAAAATAATTCAGAAATATAATTGGATATATAATAATCTGCCTTCTGACACTTCCCAAATCTTATCTATCTAATAATATAAGATAATTTATTTTAAAATTCAAAGGCTTGTTGGGTTTTTTAAAAATATTTTAGTTAGGGATTTTAGTTGATTTTTTAAGTAGGGTTTTTTGGCGTTTTTTTAGGGTTTGTTTGTTTGTTTGTTTGTTTGTTTGTTTTTTGTGGTGGTGGTGGTGTTTTTGGTTTTTTTTTTTGTTTTGCTTTGTTTGGTTTGGTTTGTTCTGTTTTGTTTCTCTTGAGTTTTGGTTTGTTTGATTTGTTTCTTTTAATTTTTTTACTAGCAGTTCAAAGAAAATTCAAACTCAAGGCATTTTGTGCCGATCCCTAAACTGGAGATAAGTGCTTCCAATACAGACCAAAAAGACTTTATGGCTAAAAATACAGCTTCTTTCTCCAGCTTTACCATGTGGTAAACCAGAAGATACTTGTAAAGTCTTTCACATTCTTGGATCATTGCAGTCCTTTTAATGTGAAGTTCCTGTTCCATTATTAACCACAAGGACTGTCGCCTACTAATATCTCATCTACAAAGGAAACAGAATCTCCAGTACAAATTCAATATAAAGCAGCATCAGTGTGTCTGCTATGAAAGATATTTTCCAGTGTAAAGGTAGTTGAATATTGCAGACTAATCTAGTAAAGGAAAGATGATCTGGTACATGAAAAATTATAAGGTTAAAAACACCCAACTATCAGTGACTTGATTCTTTGCCATATCAAAGATTTTCCTGCTTTTGAAATACTTTCGCATGGAATTCAAAATAACTATGATGTAATAATAAGGCTTGTTTCAGGATATTATTCATTATAATAATAATGCATGTTTCAGGATATTATCCAAGCAGAGAACTAGTTTTGTGGCTGACAGCAATGTAACTATCACCCATTGATGTTCATAAATAATAGATTACATTATAGGAAACACTTATCTAAGACTGGAGGCAAACTCAACATAGAAGATATAGGAATATCTCATCAAGTTGACTGACTAGTCCATAATTATTAAAAGACATCTGAAAAAAGTTATACAACACACAATATAAAATGGCAAGGAATTTATTACCTTCCAGTAGTGGTACTGTAAAGTTGGTGCTGACATTATTGATCATCCTGCAGGTTGTGATATTACTGCCACAAGGCTCGTAGTGCCAGTCACACTCATTGCGAGGGTTGTAGTAGTCACAGAATATCGCTGATGAGAAAAGAGAGAAGGTGATTAAATACTTGGTTGCCAGAATGCACTTCTGAGTAGGCATTTAAAGGTACAAACTACATTTGGCCAAATTCCTCTTGAGGTACAAGACCTGGACTTTCTGCTACTCTGCTTAAATTTAGGATACATCAAAATACTGGTGCTCAAGACTGAAATTTTAAATATTCAGGCCACTGGGTAACAATGCTTCAAATCATAAAGAACTATTTTTTAAAAATTATTTTAGTTTAAAATTAAAGATATATTTCTGAGAGTATTTTTTTCTTCAATAGCTACAAGCAAACTCCTAAATATTTTTCAGTTTCATACAAAATAGTTCCATCTTGCTGTATCACACAGGCTGAAAGTCCAAGAGGAAGCATATGAGCCATTATGAATACAACTTAAATTCAGCTTAGATGACTACAGACAGAGGAAGGAGCTTCTATTAACTTATATATCAAAGCTGAATTAAACTTACAATTTTTTGTTTCACTGGCTTCTTACACTTAAAAGCTCCAATTAGTCCAAATTCTGAATCTGAATGAATTTTCAAAATTAAAAAAAATATATATTTCTGCTACTTAAAATCTCAAAATTTTGATTTGAGCACTTTTTGGGTAATATTAATTTAAATACTATTTTACATTAATTTATGATGTATTGGTATGAGTAGCACCACTAATGGACACTGCTTAATATACATAACACTGATTAGGTTCAGTGCTAAAGCATGGGAGTTCTATATACTTTTTGGTAAAATCAAATTCTGAGTAATTTTAACAACTGAAAGAGGAAAGAGGAGAGAAGGGAAGAGAAGAGAAGAGAAGAGAAGAGAAGAGAAGAGAAGAGAAGAGAAGAGAAGAGAAGAGAAGAGAAGAGAAGAGAAGAGAAGAGGAGCCAGGCTGAACAGAAGACAGTTGAAATATACAAATTTACTAGCCTGTTTGTTCCCTGATATGCTGAGAAAAGGTTTCACCAAGCAGCCAGCATGACATTGCAGTGACAGTACTAATGATTTATTTGACTGGCTTTTTGACAGCAGCTAGAAAGAGACAGTTGTGTTTATCTGTTACTCACGGCAGATATCAGGAGTTCTCCAGAAAACACAGGCCTCAGCCTTGATGCACTCCTGGGCATACGCTGCAACTGCAGAGCAGAAGCACTCGCAGTCCCCACCGCTGTCACAGGAGCAGGCATCATGAACACAAGCCTCATAGTAAGGAAGTGGGTCCACCTGTCAGGGGTAAAAATGATGCTCCAATTCATCTGCAAATTAGTTTTCAAACAAATATGTTTGAGAGCTCTTGATATATGGGAATTGAACTAGGAAGGAATGAGACTGTGTCTAAGAGTTAGTTACCAAATCACAAACACTTACAGGCTTGAAGCTGCTCAATATGTTTTGGGGAATAATAGACTTAAAATAATATAGTTCCTTCATAAGTTGCTATGACTGAAAAAAACAGAGTCCCTAGCAGTGCTCATATTTTCTAATAGAGTTCCATTTTAGCGCTCCCAAAACCAAGCTGAATTGATGCCAGTGAAGTCTTATCTTCCAGCATGCTTTGCCAACCAAATGGTGAACAATGTCAGAAAGGCTGCATTCACAGCAAATACGAAGCATGCAATTTTGTGCCTATCAGTTTTTGGAGTTAATCCAATGACATGTTAAAAAAAACTTTTTTTAATTTTTTTTTTATTTGAGACTGCAAGAGGAGAAACTTAGACTGGATTTTTGCTGCTGAAGTAAACCACATGGAAATATATAACAAATTAATTAAATTAATAATTGTTTGTGACTTTTCCACTGTGACTTAAGAACAAATTGTTGTTCATATTACCATGCATCAGGAAAGAGATGGGAAATAAAGAGGAGTGCCCTCTGTGCACTGTACTCTGGAAACTGTGGGCTGGCAGTGTTTGCTGTGACAATTTGGAGGCACAGTACCAGCAGCTGTCTGTCTAAACAACATGATGTCAGTGGTGTCTAAAAAGATCCTTTTGTGGATTAAATACTACAAGAAGTAGTAGCCTCTTCAACAGCCACCTTTCATGTTTAATATGAATTTCCATCAGGAGATGGATCTGATGACTGTAAGGTCCTTCAGTACTTGTAATGCTGACTGTCTCTCAACAAGAGATGGTGCAACTGCAGCAAACATAACCTGTTCAGGATACATTTCTGAAGCTAACTTGCAGAGTAGTAGCAGTGAAACTGTAGTGATGAATATGGGTTTGTACAGCTGGGGCTGCCACCACCACTGACACAGTCCCATTGCCACAGAGACTCAGACTACTCTGACTAAGGCCACATGAAAGTTCTGACAAGACTTAATTGAAGATCAAGCTATTTAACCATCTCTTCATTCATTTCATTTCTGACAGTCTTTTTGGTTCTGCATTATCAGAAATGCACTGTGCTGTCCCATCACCTACTGTCTTCTACAAACCTTGGAGTGACAAATTTTGAAGACTTCACTCTGGATGATGCTGCATTCTTTCTCTGCCCAAGACTTCCGGTGTGGTTTCAGATCACAAGGCTTAATCTCTTCTGTGACATCTGGGCACATGGGAGATTGTTTCCAGGAATTTCCAAAATTCAGAGGATTATTGTCCTGCAGTCCACTCCTTGTTGTAAAGTCATTGTTTGCCTTGTCATCAAAGTTGCCACACAGACCACACACTTTGCCCTGGAAAAGAAAATTGAGTTTTTAAATATACCATGGAAATGAGAAACAGGCTCTGGCAAAGTAAGAGCAAAACACTGACATGAAAAATGACAGATGACTGTCTGTGTAAATGATGACTTTCTTCTTTACTGTCAAATCATTTGTACAGAAAATAAATTTTTATTTGTCTGTCTTCTGCAAATTACTCAGCTGCCATATCTTTCCTCCTTGAAATCCTTAATATCTAGTGTATTTCCGTATCTGTCTCCATATCCAACTTAAAACATTAAAGAATGCCCAAGCTTCTTACAGCTGAGAAGAATAAATTATTCTCCATTCTCAATTTAACATAACTCACCTGTTAATATAAGCCTGAGATAATTAATTTCTGCTCAAAGCTGTTTTTATTAAAAGTTTCTAACATAATGATCACCATTTCTTCATTCATGGAAAAGAAATGACAAGGACTCATTTTTCTTGAAAGAAAATGTATCAATCTGCCTTCAATGGTGAATTTTTGGTACTGTTATTTAAGGCCCACCACTCCCCTCAAGTAACAGTATGTCACTGTTTGTACAATGCCTCAGTATTCTTCAATTCAGCATGCTGAATTTCAGGAACCAGAACCATCGCCATACATTGCACAGGGAGTTTGGTTTTAACACAGGGCTGAGTTTGCATGTAGGTTTCCAAGCACATATGTCATCAGTCCACATCCCCTAAATTATCTGGCTGTCAATACTCACAAAATCAAGAGTATTGCCTGAGGTGTTTATCTCTATTGGAATAACATCCTATGCATTCTGTGCAATGCATTGTGATATACTGTAAGAAGCCCCAGAAGAACTTCTGCAAGCTGTGACTGCAATAATGCAAGCTGACCATTAGTGCACAGAGGATATAGGAATTAGACATGGAGTCAGAACAAAAGAACATTTATGTTCTTTTATGTTTCCTTGTCTATTCACAATACTACCTCAGAAGAAGACAGACAGGCACTAACCTTGTAATCAGGGCTCAGCTTGATGAAAACAGTAGTCTTCTTGTCCCAGATCAGCATCACACCATTGCTAGCCTCAATAACCAGGTACAGGCCAACTGTCCTGTTCCAATACTGCACATCATCACCAACATCTCGCTGAATTTCTTTGTACTCTTTGTTCTCCAATTTCAGTTCCGTTTTCTGAAAGACAAAAGAGAAGTATTGTAATGCTAACTTCTATGATGAGACAAAATATTAGACACTTGTAACAATGCAACTCATTCTGTAACCAGTAGCTCAGACTCTGGGATGACTTCCAAGATAGCTGGGAGTGGTGTAGCACTTCTGTTTGAGAGAGTTTTCACCACCTGAGAACCTACACCTTTACAGAATAACTTGATAGGGTCTCTAATGCTTGTTACAGCTGCTTTTAGGGGCATGACTTTAGAGCATCACATTTTTGGTAATACTGATATGTACTGACTGTCATCACTCACCCCTAGGAACATTTTGATAGCCTTAGAGCAGGTGACTCCTGTAGTTCCACAAGGGACATTCTCTGTGATGATACTGAATGAGCCGCTGGAGTTTTTGTCACCGCAGAAGTCCTATTGGAAAAAAAAAAAAAAAAAAAAAAAGAGCATAAGAAAATTAGATAGAATATTTCATTGTAGTTCAATCTCATAAGAATTGCAATCATTTAAGTCTTCACAATGTATAAATAGTTACTACTCCTTGAAATGTGAGATTTTACACACACATATTTTTACAGATGTATAGCCATATATGCATACTTCCATGCATACATATAAGCAGTTAACACAGCCTGGGAAAAAGAATGGGACTATAAAACAAAGTGAGGAATATATCTTTAAATAAAAGTTTTAAGTTTCCGAGCTTGGAATTTGGATTTATTTCACAAATTATAATTAGCTCTCACTGTAACATAGTTCTGTTGTATGTAATTTATGATATATATATCTGACAAAAAAAAAAAGAGCCACATTCACACAGTTTGCCTGCACTGAAAATACACAATTTATCCTGGCAGAATGTGTGAACCCCTTGGAAACAATGATGACAGGCAATAAGGAATGACAAAACCAAAGAGGAAAGTAGATTTTCAAGGCAATCAAATTATTTTTCAGCCCTCCTGATGAGCATTACCTGAGTAGCCACATATTCACAGCTGCCATCAAAGTCATAGAACTTCCCATCGAAAGTGTTATAATGGCCACTTCCATATATCATACAAGTCCCATAGCACACGTCATCAGTGCATTTCCAAACCCCTTTCTGGCAGGTGCTAGAAGAGAGCAGAGAAGTTCAATTTTCAGATCTCACCAAGAGTGTGTGGTTTGAAAAACTGCAGAACAAACCAAGCAACTGCCTGATATAATCTGATAATATGCAAAATATCCAAGCCTCAACTTCAATTGATAAGCCCATTTTTAAACCTATAACATGATTTTTACTCTGTTGAGCTACAATCTTTAGATCTGATAGCATTTATTTTCAAAAAATGAGGGAGTTTTCCCAATAAGAGATGCCTACTGAAAACAGAGGTAACTACCACCTCCATACTTCCAGCAGAATCTGTATTTTCTGAGATAGCAATAAATATTCCTGAAAATTAAGGATGATACTTCCGGCTTTTGCAGCTACTAGTACATAAACCTAGATATGACTATGAATATACTGCATAGAATACATCCTAGAAGAGAGTATTCATTTATAACCCACCAGGTGTTGCAGTCCACTTTTATCTTGTCTCCAGAAGAATACCACTCATTGTTGTGAATGCACGGGCAATCTTTTTGCTCAACACAGCCCCCTCTGCCATCATCAAATAGACCTTCAGGGCACACACAGCCTGAGACACACTCTGTCTGGAACTAAGGAATATAAGGAGAAATGGTTACCTTATGACAAAGTGCTGCATCTTAATTCCACTTCTTCACACTTTAAAATCTGCATTTAAAACCACACAGTCTAATACTGATTAGTTTTATAAGGTTCTTGTTTTCTAGGTTTCTAATGTTTTTCTTTTCTTTTTGGATTGTCTAAGTACTCAAATTCTTTTTTGCTTGGAAATTATGACTCTACTGAAGACACAGTAAAGAGGAGAGGGTAACCATTGTGAAAATGGCATCAGATTATTATCATGGGGGGAAAAAAAGAGGTAGATTAAACCAAAGAGAAATAAACTGCTAATTAAAACTGTATTTGCTGTGTAGCACCATGTCATTTAAGAATACAGAATAAAGAAAGACACAAAGAAAAGTTGAATACATACATGATCAGTTTGAGGAGTATGACAGCTAAGTTGCAGAGGTGTTTGCGAAGTCCACTTTGAGAATGCATTGCAGTCAAAGTATGTCTTGCTAGAAGAACATTCGTTTTCACCTGAAAGGTACATTGTTGCTTTAGATCAATCAAGGCAAAAGAAATGTTAGTGAAAGGTGGTAGTTTCTCAGACAGAAATCTCAGTCTATCCTTATGAAAAAAATAGGCTTACTGAAGAGAGAACAAAGTGAAAATCTGTTACTGTCCTACATAAAGAGGAAAAAACATGCAAAACAAGTAAATGGAGAATTCAAAAGGGAAGTAGGTTTGGGATGGGAGGTTGGCTATGGATTTTATTCTAGTTTAGTTTATAGAACGTCACTTACTTTTCATTCTTATTTTCACTGAAGTGCACTGGATCTTTGCATTTCGGCAAACACTAGAAAAGTGAAGTAAGTAGAAATTTTTTTTTTTAAAAAAAGCAAGCTCAATATCTTCAATTTATGTCTAAGGACTTATTTATATAAATTTGAGAGCATTTATTAAAGATATCCTGCATAATTTCTACTGAAATTTCAAGACACATTCTATTAAATTACGCTCATTTTTTCTAATTCAGTTACTCAAATTTTTTCGCTGGAGAAAAAGAGTAGCAAGATTTTAGGCATAATACACAGAAAGGTTTTGTTTTAAGGAATGACCGATATTCTATTAATCTTTAATACTGTGTCTTATGACAACTCAGGAATTAGATAGTAATGACACAGATAATAATTATAATTTAATTAAAAGCCTCCATTTGGATACACAGTGTATTTTCACAAGTATTGAATTTATATGCTGCAAATTTGTTGACCTATATGCTTCTGCTGGATAAGAGAAGGCATTTCAGTTTGTACTGATGACTCAGGCAGCAAGCTGTTGCCAGGGACCATGGGAAAATATAAAAGAATCATAAATGTTGTTTTCAAAAGCCTGTGTTACAGTGAATACATATCAAAGGGACCTTCCTCCAGTGAAAAACACAACCATTCTGTGTCTGCTAGAAAAGCAAACATAACACATAGTCGGCCTTTTATCTTTCTTTTACCATTCTGCTTAACAAAGCCTTATTAACACTGCAGCTTCAGAATAACATTTATCTGTGAAGGCAAATATTCATACCTCCAAAAAAAGCTGCACTTCTCAATTATTGATAAATTGCATTGCAACAGAATAATGCTTTGCTCAGCACGAAGATGTTTACAAATTACAAATACTCATTAAAGTACCAAAAAACCTAAACACCTTACATCTAACAAGCAATTTTTAAAGAGCTTTTTCCTCACACACAAGAAGCCAAAGTAAAACATACCAGCGTTCTCCATCTTTTGTGAAATACTGCCCAGGTTCCAGGTATGATCCCTTGTAATAACATGGGCACTGGGAGATGGTAACACAGTTATCCTGGTTATCCAAGTATGTATTGGATGGGCAGCCACAGCCATCCACAGGAGCAAAGTCTTGCAAGCAATACTTTTCACCATCAGCAAGGGAGCGACAGGTTTGCTGGCACATTGTAAGGTTGTAAAGGAAGACTTGATTTCCTGGGCAAGAAGATGCTTCGCTGCCTGGAGAGAAAAAAACCAAACTGATAAATAAGGGATGCAGGATAGACAATTTGGCCTTGACATTTCCATTTTGGTTTCTTTGGCTGTGCTGAATGTAGTGATAAAAACATTCCCTTAGATCTTATTAAAGTACAAAAATATCAGAAGTAACAAGTAACACTAACCTATCTTCACCAGTTGAAGACTTACTTTTAACTGCTACTAATAGTTTCTACTTTCATAGCCCTATTTGTTTCACATAATCAAATAGTGAGCACAATATAATAAATTGCTAGTCTCAAACATATTGAACTGTTGATGTAGAGCAAGCAAGATCAGAAACAATGACATTGACAAACAAATGCACAGTAAAAGCCCTGATGGCTGGGATTCCATTAGTAAATGCAATTTTATTAGCTAGACTGGAGAAAGAAGATGAAAGTTTAAAATATTGCTTTCTACTTTTAAGTATAAAAATTTCAAATTACATCTGAAGAATATAACATGAATTAGTAAACATTATCAGCATTGCCTCTTTTTGGTCCATTACACATTTCTAAGATACTCCAAATCCCTTAACAGCAGGATAGATTACTGACAACCAAATTCAGAGAGAGCCTGTTTATTTCTCATGGTTAATCATTTCCACAGGGATTACTGTTCCATTACTTACTGCAGACACTGTTTCTCCAGTCTCCCAGTATGATCCCTTTGAAAGCACAGGCTCTTGAGTAAGAGGACAGGGCAGCACACAAACATTCTTCGTTGTCTTCACAGAGGCAGGTGTCATATTTACATTTCTGAAAAAAAAGAACAAAAGGGTCAATAAGTCCACAAGGAATCAATGGGCAATTGCAACTTGATTGCTACAAAATGTCCTGTCTGCTTTTCCTGATGTTTGTATTAATTCCCATGACAGTGAAAGAGAACAATGAAAAGAATGGACAAAGATCAGAGAGTTAAAGTGCCACTTCATTTAATCCACAATGAAAATATTTGGATGCTTATTCTAACCTAAGCCAAGCCTCTTGAACCTTTAAAAAGTAGTCAGCTTGCTAAGAACACATTTTTCAAAGGATATTGATACCATTCATTCTCAGTTACTAATTAGAAATGCAGAGATCCACAAAAACTAGAATAATAAAGGCAAAATATTAACCAGGTCTATGAAGACCTTTACAACATTTGAGCTCACTCTGACTTCCAAGCAAAAGCAACGATTTTAGAATTCCTTTTCCTCAGGTGAGCCTCCGTTGCTGCTCAACAGAAATGAGCACGGGGGAAAAGAATTCATGGAGACTCCAGCATGAAAATTATTTGGTGTTACATTCCAACCAATATACTGTTAGAATTTTTCCCCCCACTTTATAGAAACTAATGCTTCTATACTTAAGCTGTGCACATCTGCAATTCTTGAGTCTTCTTTTCAGTCCAAATATCCAAGCCAATAAACATGTCACAAAAAATAAAAAAGCAAAATAAAAAATGTACATTTTTATTCAGCAGCAGCCCATAAAGATCTCATCATATGAGATACTTTGGATGCTATGTTGCTCGAATCAGTCGATTCATTAATTCAGCATCTCTTATGGACAAGTTACTCACTGATGTCTCAAATGTTCAAACAATGATAAATGTCTAAAGTTAACCATTTGAAATAATGCAGTACTAAAAGAGTGCAAAATTACAATACCTTATAGTATTCTGAAGGATCAATGGCCATGTGACATCTTGCAAAAGGACCCTTTGGGTTTCTCAGCAAAGAGCACCAATGCTCAGCATAATTTGCTGCAAAAAAAAAGAGAAATTCATCACATTTCCTTATCTTCCTTGTGCCATGCCTAGTTATGCTGATGCATAAATGCAGTGCAGAAATACAAATGAGAGAACTTGTGCATTTTGGGAAGTGGAGAAACTACATGCTATCACCACACATGTATTTCTAATCCTTGATTCAGAGACATGCAATCATAAAATCAAAAACTGCACCGTACTTTTACAATTTGTACACAAGGAATTGTGACAGCTCTTTCCATTTGGGACCATAAAGTTAAGTTAAACATAAGGATAGATAATGCTAGAAGATACAAGCTGTCTTTGCAGATAGTACAAATTAATGACTGTTTTTCCCATTCTACCACCTTAGGATTCTTTTACAATCACTCTTTAAATTTTCACTTCAGTTTGATGAAGTGCTTGTATGTATACATACATGCAGATATTAATTATTAATGTTACAGTCCTGTAAAAATCTTCAATGCCCCACTACAACTCTTACAGGCCTGTTGCAGTAATGCACAGCAGACACTGCTCATCCTGGCAGAAGCCAACACTCTGATTTATTAATGTGCTTACCACTTTCAATGCTGAGACTGCAGGGGTCTTCCAGCTTTTCTACCTGGTCTGTGCAGGTGGACTGAGCTTTCCACGTGTTAGCAAAGGCAGATCCTGTAGCCTCAATCAGCCCGCTGGTTGTTCTGAAGTCATCACCTTCCATTCCATTGAAGTTTCCACAAAGACCTATTTGAGAACAAGGTAAAAATTTCACATAAGCATTATTTATTCTCATACTGAATGATCACAGGAAAGGGACAACTGATCACAAACATTAGAAACAGCTGATTATTCCACATCAATTTAATGCATACTGAATAAATACTGAAGTTTTAGAAGCCCTGGTTTAAATCTTCAACATCTTCAAGAATAGTAATCATGAAGATATCTGTGCTTCAAGAGATTACTACTCTAACCCATATTTTTTATGCTTTCTGATGATATTGAAAGCACAAAATACACTGAAAACCTGGTTTTGTAGATAGTTTAAAATTAAACTAAATACAAAAGTAAGGAATATTCTAATACCTATGTACTGGCAACAGAGTGATATATAACTTCAATATCACAAAATAAAACACACTTCTAGTTTGCTTGAGTCGATTTTCTTTCCATTTTCTCCCCTTGAATCAACAAGTAGCATGAGTTATCACTCATATAAAGGATACATGATTATTCAGCTGTGAAACAGCATGACTTTGCTTCCCATTTGCATAGACACTTGCCTTGAAGTTTTCCTTTAAGTGATTCATCCACAGTCACAAACAGCTGCATGACTCTAAACAGCTGGATCTGCATCTGAAGCCCAAAAGGAGTTTGTACAACAAAGTAGTTGGAAGATGGCTTGAATACTGAGAAGCTGGCTGAAAAACAAAACATGAACTGTTGTAATGAATCAATGCATACAGGCTGCCAAAAGAAACACTTCTTATTAGATTCTCATGTATCACGCAGCATGAAATCTCTGAGACCAGGATCAAATTAATATCTTTTTTCCTTTAAAAATCACTGGCCAACTAGATATGATGCTGGTGCTTACAAACTTAACAAGTTGATTACTTACAAAGATGGGTCTCTGGGATTAGAAACAAATGGGCATGCCCACACCAGCCAGGTTTGGAAAATGCTAAATACCCCTCCTCCAGTTTTGCCTCTACAAAAATACATCCCTACATGAGAAGCCAGGTGTGTGACACTTGACATACAAGGCTGCGTCCCTTACTTGACACATGAGGCACATTCACTGTCATCTCGTTCAGGAGCACGCTGCCATCTGATCTGAAAACCACCACCTGTGTAACAGCAAATGGAATCAATGAGGTTCCAGGGACTGAGGAAAACGAACTAATACAAAGAAGATTAACAGCAAGGACATTTTACACATTTAGGCTCTGTCTAGAACTCCAAATTTTGAAAGGAAAAATCTGTCTGAAAACTGAACATGGCAGCAGCCCTATAGGTTACGCCTATGGTTTTGTCTTGCTACTCAGTGCTTCTCTTACATCTGCCTACAATAATTCATACCAACAATGAAAGGCAAAACTCCTTTATGTTGGGCATTTTGGTTTCAGCAAGTTGAAGAAAATATTAGGTCTTCAGGATCTGTGGGAAGTTCTCATTCCTTATTAAAGCATGTGCTACAGCTTCTGTGTGATGGTTAATATGATTCTGACATGGTAAGAAAGCAGTTTATTAAACTTCCTCAAAAAACGCTACTCTACATACACAAACATAAAACTATTGGATTTTGATTTGGTTTTCTTACATTCTAGTAATGCTGGCAAGGACATGGAAGCCCATAAATATGTGAGGAATATCATGTGTATATGTATGACAATTATGTACAGAGATAGTCCATACATTCTCATAAACAAAGAGAATACTAAAGTGAATATTTGAGAAGGTTGGATTGCATCACCATTCAAAGACAGGATTTATTCTGAAAAAGACTAAATTAGAACTATAAAATTATATCTGAATGAAGAAAAAAACTATGAGGTAGAGAAGAATAGGTACCCTTCCTTCCAGACACCTGGAATCCTGTGAGAAAAATCATATCACACAGAGCAGAGGAAAGAAGAGGGGGAAATGTCAGTTGTTTTGAATCTCATATTTTCTTAAGTTTAGGTTTACTTTGAATTCTCGAGGCAGACACCTGAGCTGTTTGTCAGCCTGTCTGAGGTTCCTAATCTATCCACAATAATGACTCCAGAAGAAAAAAGTATTCACCCACATTAAGGGAAATATGTTAATTTTCAACATATTTAGTAGAATCCACAGAACAGCACTTACATTCTTTTTGTTATCCACTAACAGCACAACAGTCTTCAAGCAGGTCTGTTTGTCTGTGGAGCCACAGGGAGCCAGCTCTGCCAGGAGAGCATAACTCTCATTTGCAGTACCCTACAATCACAGGGAAATAAATGTCCATTAGTCATATTAAAACTCTCGTGAGAGTATTTCCACAACAAAGACTAAATTCATCAGTTACAATAACTTTCCTAGCTCAACAAGATTTTCTTCATTCTCTAGAAGAATGGACACCAGATATTTTAGGTCAGCACAGCTGCCTACCTCTTTTCCCTACCTGACTTTGTCACTGTGACTTAGAAATATTACAGAAGTGGACAAGAGCTTCTAATCCTGAGACCTTTTGATTTCTTACATACAAAGGACTCCACTGGATAATGACAGCATAGGCAGTCTTCTATCTCACTGAGTTAATTACCCATTGCAATAAGTCCTCAGCTTCCCCTTAGGGCTATTATAGCTAAATCCTGACTTTTCTGGTACAACTTTCAGCATTTCGGTTTCCGTCACCCTATGGAAGTGGAATAGAACAATAACTCCCAGCTGATATACACATCAGCCCACAGACACTGTTTTACTCTACAAGAGAAACAACCCCACTGTGCACAGTACCTTGGCCAACACATAGTAGCAGTCTCCATGGAAGGTGTATTTCTTCCCATCAAAGGTGGTAAAATGGGAACCTCCTTCCACTGAGCATGTGCCTGGACAGGGTAGATCTTTGCAGGTCCATCTGCCTGAATTACAGGTGCTATAAACAGACAAATAATACAAAAAATGCTTGTAGTTATTACAGGAGCTGAGAGCACTGAAAGTATCTGCATATCTGGCAGCCAGCAAGCTATCCCCAGGTGTTTTAAAACTGTATCCTTGACCATTTCCTTGAGATTTTCCCTCTGACATATGCCATAGAATCTAACATATGCCATAGAAACTTACCAGAAATTTTGTTCTATAGACATGCAATATAAACAATAAATTCAGAGAGTTTTCAGAACACCTCCTGTGTTCAAGTGGAAATTTGAAAAATGCAGGCCCATTAACAATCATTCAAAGAAAGGTGTACAACAACCAGGATCCTTACCATTCTTCACATTCTTTGGAAATGCTTTCTCCAGGTGCATATGCCTTTCCACCAAGTTTGCAGTGGCACTGGCTAACAGGGATGCAGCCTTTTTCACTGATATCATCATACACAGTTCCTATAAAACACAACATTAACTATTCCAGCTCTTTTTCAAATAAGCAATTTCCACAGAGGAAAAACTAATTTTCCACATAGGCTGAGATTATCTAAACTTTGAAGAATACTGGCTCTACTTTTTTGTAATATAAGACAGATGGAAAGCACTTTTATTCAGCTTTGAAAATCCAAGTCTGTTCATTTATATAATTATACACAGATAAAAAGGTTATTGCAAGCATATAAGAACAATCTGAGAATGTCACATGTTTAGATTCTTAGTCTTTTTGGCTGTGAAGACTATCACTGTAATCTTCTTTTCTAAGGCTGACATCAAGCCTGAGAATTTCACTCACTGTCCCTCACTGCCACTCTCTAGGCAAGTGATGTCCACTGTCTCAGAACTATTCAATTCACTGAAAAGCATGATTTACTGTATAGTATCAAAAACCCACTTGTTGAGAATTAAAAGGTAGGTCTATTATCTGTCACTGTGTTAGTACGTTTGAACTATAAAATAATTTATTAATTAATCAATTACTACCTCCTTAGAAAATTTTACAGTTATTTTCCTCTAGGGGGGGAAATAATGAGTAGCACTACCCTTTCCCAAGATATAATTTGACTAGATGTAGTATTTTCATAAGACTTCCATAGCCAGGGCTCTTGCTTTTGTCCCCGATGCAACACCTAGAATAACACTTGCCTTCAGGGCAGAAACAGCCATCCATGTAGTGCTCCTCACAAAGGCTGCTGATCTGCAAGTGTGAGCAGGTATCCACACAGGGTGAGCTGCTTTCTCTATAGACCATGGTAGCAGGACAGGTCTTGGCTGAAAGAGTAAAAAAGACACCAGGAGTCATTTGAGTGATAAGTTCATCATTCCTGAGAAACCCCAGATCATACACCCTACTCCCTTCAAGTCAGTGGTGTCTCAAGCCAGACTCCACATGGCACAGCATGTTTATCTAAATCTGAAGTGCTTTCCCTGGTTTTTGTATTTACTTCTTTTGGTTTCAAATAGATGAAATTATTCCCATCTCCTGCAGCATCAAATCTCAGGTTTTTTAATGGGAACAGAATTTGCTGAAAAGTATTTCTTAATAGTAAAAGTAACACAAGAAGAAAGCAGAGAGACCGTAAAATTTTTAGCACTACTGGGATGAAATTTGTAATACATGCCAACAGCTTTGAAAAGAAGTAATGAATTTAAATTTCATGGCACTACAAGCATGAAACCTTTGGATGTTTGTAAAATTTGTGTAGCTGCTTACGGCAGAAGCTCTGTGTCCTCCATTCTCCCGGGCGGCCGCCTGCATGTGAGCACTGGCGGGAATACTCGGAGATGGTGCTGCAGAGGCAGAAGGAGTCGTCCTTCCCATTGCAGGCACACTTGTCCTGCATGCAGGCTTGGATGTACATTTCCAAATTAAGACGCAGCCGACAATCAGCAAACGCAGCGGAAGTCAGCAACTTCTGACACTCGTCACGCTGAGGAGGAAGAGGAATAAAGTTTAAGAGATTTACAGGTATCTGAGCTTCTGGACATTTCTTATCTTACAATAAAAACTGTTGTCTTTTGAACAGCTTTTGAACATATACCCTGGAAGGGACAGTCCCCATCTCCTTGCAACTAACTCCCTGTTGCACAAGGATGTCTCCATGTGTCCATGTGAAGGAAGTTTGCCACAAGAAGTACTTACATGCTCATTACAGCTTGGAAGAGCCTGAGTTTCATCTGGATCTTCACATTTGGAATTGGGTTTGCTGATCTTCTGCATATTCCCATATGTAATTGAGTTGTAGCTTGCATCTATGAGAAAAAAATAGAAAGAGAACTTGCTGAGCCCCAAAAATTGACAAGGAGCACCTGATTCCTGGAACTCTACTGATCAAGGGAAACAGTTACTATGGTATCAAATATGCCTGTTAGACACAGGTACCTGCTCTGAATGATGTCTAACTGTGCTTTAAAATGTAAAGGGGAAACAGGAGAAGAAGGCTAGTAAAGAACAAAAAGATTAATCTAGAACAGAATACATTTAGAATGCAGGAATTCCAGCACCGGAACTTAATGTTTAGTCTGGGGCAATCACAGAAACCTCTCAAGTGAAATTTGCTCTCCTGTGAAGTTTCTGTGCACAGGGCTTGCCAGTCTATCTCTGGGGACAACCGTCAGTATGGTGGGATGACGCACCTCCCTTGATGAACTCATTGTAGATTTGAATGCCATTGTAATCCCCACAGAGACCACAGGTATGGTTATTAAATTTGCTGTCCAGCTCCACCTAAATAACAAAAAGGAAAAACATAAAAGAATTATCTTTTTCTTCTTCCTTTTCCCCCTCCCTTTTTTCCCCTACTGAGACAGAGAAATATCCCAGGAAACCCAGTAAATACCCATTAAAAATACTTTGAGCATACATACCATCAGGGCATCCTGCTGGTTCCACATCAGAACCATGCCTAATTTGGCATAAATCTTGGTGTAAATTTCATTGCTCTCAATGAGGACACCAGAGGTGTAGTAAGGTGTCTTCACACTAGGAAGAAAATCACAGACTTTTCATTAGTTAGGAAACATAAGGGCTGACATGAATGTCTGTAATAAGCCAAATACCCAAGGAATAGAGAAACTAGTCTGACTACCTCATTCTAACTGCACAGGATGCCTTGTTTTAATGAGGCATAAAGTCTTCTCTTTCTGACACTCAGGACAATAACTCATTGCAAAAACTCATCTAAAAGGCAAAGCAATTTCAGAGGAAAAGCCTACCAAACACTTTGGGCTCTTTAACTTCAAAAATACCAAAATGTCAGATGTCTTCAAATTAATCAAAGAAAAACCATCATCATTGTGGTATTAACAGAGGTTATTCAAACACTTACTAATAATTTACATCAATGAAAGGAGCTACAACATAATTTACAGTGTTTCTTTACCAAAATATCTCATAACCATTTCAGAGAGAATTTATGTTCCATTGCAAGGAACTGCCTCCTTAAGAGAGAGTTCAGAATGCACAGGCAGTTATAGGGACTGCCAACAAAATTTGTAAAAGAAAGGAGCATGTTAAGAGGAATTCAGTAGCTCTTTCAGTAGTTAGTTACTTAGTTTTAAGTGGACAGGACTGAGCCTGTTAATGGTGACAGAAGACACTGCAGAGGGCTGAGCATAAATATTTTTGTGTGATAACAATTCATGTCCGTCTTACAAATAAACTGAACTGCTGAATTTCATTCAGCAATAAAAGAATTGTGGCAGGCAGTCTTATCCTATAAAATCCAGAGAACTAGAGTCTGCTCAAACAGAAGTAATGTAAACTGGAGTCCAGACAAAATAACTGGTTCATTTTCTACAGATTTATCAATGTAATTGTTATCCATCAAGATTCATGCATGTGTATGTACATCTGTTAACTAGTCTCTTGACTGGGAGAGCTTTATCTCCTGATTTTCTGTCACTGGGGTTTTTACAGCTATTTACCTCAGGCATTTTTTAACATGCACAAATGACTTACACATCTAGGTGCAAACTCAAGAGATCATTTTTTCTGCTTTTGACTGCATTGCTCATCAATAAACAATGAAATCTTGAGGGATTATGCTTCTTGAGGGGAAGCATAAAATGTTGGACATCTTCTCAGCTTTTAGCTTTCACTGCATGGAATATTTATCTTTTTTTCTAATAGTAGGACATTCAATCAAGCAGTGGATCAGGTACCTGAAGGCTAATCCATACACTTTTCTACTTTACAGTTTTCACTTCAGCACTGTGAAATGCTATTTTACATGACAATAGATTTACATGACAATTTATCATTTCAGGAGCAATATGGAAAATTAAGTTCTACCAAAAAATTTCTACAAGTTGCAAAAACTAGTTTGGCAGGGATCTGTTGTTTTATGACAATAAAGTCTATCTAAGACAAAAATAGCTCAATTTAAGAGAAACAGTTTTAAAAGTACTTCTAACTTGTTTTTCATGGAGTTCTTTTTAAGACTTCAGTACACAATAAAGAGCTTTTTCAATTTGAGGCAATAATGCATTTTTTTCTAAATTTCTGTCATTTTCTTATGCATTCTAGTATGATCTTTGGAAAACTGAATGTTACTTTCAATCCTTGAACATGTTTTCATTGCAGCGGCTTCCAACCTTTAGAGCAAAAGCTGAATTCTGGGCAAAAACAAGTTCTCCAATGACAATTAAAAGCTTTTTCAATTATGCTAAAACATACTAATTAACTTATTAGTTACTTCACTTGCTTCAGAGTGTAAAGGCACATACTACAAGGATAAGCTAATGATAGGAAAGACTAGGTTAAGACACTACTTAGCATCAGTAATGGTGTCAGACGAGTTTTTTGTGTAATCATGTTATAAGAGGAAAAAAATAACACTGCTTAGTCTGCAAAAGTACACAGTGGCACAGATAAATTATTGTGAATTTTGACCTGTGTTATATCTGTTAAACTCCCTTTAGGAATGCCATCAGATCTTTAAGAATTATTTATGAAGATCAGAAAAAACTACCTCTCTTCTGTCAGAAAACAAGAGGAGAAGACCCCAGAGAAATGCATTTCCTTTTCAAGAATTTGCTAGACCATCTGCTAAGGTAAACTCAAGATGATGCCATCAAACAAATGAAGCTACATCATTTTAAGCCAGTGAAAAATCTGGCTAATGAGCTGCACTATTTTCTGCACAAGTGGAAGAACAATTCACTCAAACCTATTCCTGACTTGTATTTAAATAATCCCTTTTGACAGTGTAGAAATGACAATTATTACTAAAGCCGCTCCTCAAAGCAATTTTAATGTTGAATTTCAAAAGGCTTTTTTGTTTGTTTATTTGTTTGTTTGTCCTGTGGAAATGCTTTGCAGCAGTTTCTGTAATGGTACACAGACCGTTGTGTAAAGAATCAATCCTGCTTTTATCTTCCCAGCACATTTCTCTGAATACCATTATAGTAAAGGAACTTACATCCGCCCATCCACCACAACCAGGTTGGGTTTGAGGTAGACCATTATATCCTTGACTTTCATCAGAATATACTGGATCTCAGGATGGCCATTGCTGTCGAGAGCACGCTGGATGTGGACAGAGAATTCCTTGTAAGCCTCCCGGCAGTCAGAAACAAAATTATACTCGCAAGTGCCAGGGAATTGGTAGACGTCTCCATCAAAAGTCTTGAAATGGTTGTTTCCCCAAGTGCTGCAGACATAGTGGCCATGGCTTCTTGTCCTTCCTGTTAAGTAATGAAAAAGAAAAAGAGATGAAAACAAGTGCAAGAAACGATCTAGTGTGAAAAATGGTAAATGTTCAATTTTACAGTAGGAACCACCTGCAATTTTGTTCACAGTGATTCCATGGATTTCAAGCGGGATCAAGTATCTGCCAGGTCAGCAGAAAATATGGAATGTCTCAAAAGCAGACTAAGATGTTAATAAATAATTCTGAGACCAGGGTATATCCTATAATCTTCACTGAGGTGAAGGAACTTACCTGCATGAGGTGGGGAAACTTAATACTGACCACTAACTTGGCTTCTGTGCCAAACATATGATTTTATTCTGAATCACAGTATGATTTTTGTCAATATTAACTTTTTCCAAGAACTATCTTCTTTCCTGGGGCAACATGTACTAGAAACAAAACAGGTAGGAAATCAAGAAAGTACTACCTACTCTGGAAGGCCACCAGTTTAAAGGTTATGAAAGGGCTTATGCATAACAGGAGATTTCAGTGAAATATTTATTTTCCTAAAAGCAGTAGTGATTTCTATTACTGCAAGACAGAAATTTTTCAGAAGATAGCTCAGAAATAGCCATGGTAGGAGGGAAAAAAAAGTTTTTGTAATAGCAAAATATGAAGATGATTTGTTCCTTCCCCTGCCATCTACACCAACAAAAAATATAAATTAACAACAATATCTGATCAATCTCCAGATACTGTAGATTAGGGGAGAATCATAAAAGCTGAGCATCCTTGGGAATCTTAACATTCCACAAGATTTTCTTGCAGCATTTAACATGAGAATGCAAAACTGCTAAGAAAATCCCTAGGTTACTGTATTTTGATGGTATCAGTCATTCCAGATACATCCAACCAAGCTGGAACACATCCCTCCCCAGAAGGAAGGCTGCACAGAGGTCCTCCCAGAGCTCACAGATGGAAGACCAAATGCAAGGTAAGGTTTTCCTCCCACTGCTGAATTCAAGACACAGCAGACCAAGCTCAATAGCCCAAACCTGATCACTGGACACATTTAATCACCTATTCCTCCAAAAAGCAGTTTTCAGTACGAGCACTCCATTTCATCACTTCAAATTTGATAGCAAATACAGTAAGTTAGAGCTTTTCGAAAAGGGTTAAAAATGTCCTAAATGACAAAATAAGCTTTTTTCAATGTTATTACACTCATTTTTGAGGAACAATTTATGTTGTTCCAAAGCAACAGAAGACACAATCATCCACTTCCTTCATTACTTTAACAATAAACCTCTCAAAGTCCTACAGTTTCTTTCTTGCCTTACAGTTCCTTTCTTGCCATATCTAGTAAAGATTCAATGCACAGAAAGAAAAGCAACACTGAAAATATTTTCCAAGCACATCAAACTAGAAATCAGTGCAGTAGAGATAGGCACTAATCTCTCCAAAGAAAGTAGGATAAGTAGGATCTACCAGTTTTGTTCAAGCAATGCAGCCTCAATATTTGAAAGCTTAAGTGATTTAAGGCATCCCAAAACTCCAGAGCATTATTTAAATGCACAGCCTCCCTCTAGCTCCACAGCAATATTTTAAGTCTCTCCCTCCTTTCCAGGAGGCAATCTGCAACCATTTCATCTCTAGAGCTTACCTTTTTTTATTTCATTAGCAGAGGAGAGAGCCAGCCAGAGGAGGAAGAGGCTGGCCGCTCTTAGCCCCATGGTGGCTAAGGTGGGTGAATGGGAGATCCACTGGAAACTCAGCTTTTTATAATACCCACTGAGGCAATTGATTCTGTCACAGGGGAGGAGATTCAAAGGGAGGAGGCAAGAGGAGGGGTGAAAAAACAGGTGTGATATTTGCAGAAGATAAGAAGTAAACAGACAATCATTTTTCACCATAAATGAAGGAATTCAGCATACAGGAAACTGTAATATTGATTCAGTAATCATGTAATTTTTTATTGCTCTATTTCATCTACAGGATGCTATGCTTTTAAATCCTTCAAATGCTCACACCAAGTTTAACCTTCAGCAACTCCCATAACAAATAATGAATTTTGGGGTGGCTGAACAAAGAAATCCCTTGAAGAAATTTTAAGGTGAGACCCTAAAATAAAGGCTTCAAAACCAAAAAATTTTTCATTTTTCCTCATCACATAGAATGATTTCTGTAAAAAATTAAGTGATGCTTGTGAAGTACTTTGTAATTAACAGTAACCCTTACAAATAAAATGGCACATCATGTGTTGTAAAATTATTTTGCAGGTCATTATTGGATTTCTTTAATTTTTACAGCTCTTGGGGACGTCTAAACCAAAATACTGCTCATACTGCATATTTTGCCGAAAACATGTTTGAGACTGGGTGACACAGTAGGTTCAAGGATTTTACAGCAAAAGAGGTGCTCTTTCAAGCCTTATTATGGTGTAACAGAATGTCCATCAAAGTTGTAGAGATTCTCACATAATATTAAGCTTTAGAGAAAAAGTAAAAAGAAGAAGGGTAAATGGAAAAACATTACTGTTCTTAATCCCCCTAAGCATTCTTGCTCATTCTGGCTTACTTTCTACATGAATGATAAAATTACAGTCTGCTTTCCCACATCAGATCCTACAAAAGCTATAGGGGCAGCTTTGCTTTGTGCAGAGAAAGAGGTTCCTTGGGAGAAGAAGAAAGAAAGCAGAAAACAGAACCAGGAACCAGTTCAGAATGTTGCTTCAGAAATACAGGATTTCCCCATGCACATTATATTGTGCTGAAAAGCTCCTTTTAGAAGGTCTTTCTGCAACTCTCTCCAGAAGACAAAACACAGGCTCCTTGAGGTAAAAGCACACTTCCTTCAAGACATCTTGTAACACATCTGCTTCCAGTCTCTGCATTTCCTCATCAAAAAATTTTCAATGCAGTGACCAGAAATCTGTAATCCTCTTGATCGTTTATTTCTTACTTTCATTGATCATATTATAAGTAGAACTTTTATGTTTTTCAAAACATCAAGGAAACTTTTTACTTGGCCCTTTTGACTGCTCTAGTCAACTAGAAACATCCTCTTATAATAAGAGCATATTCTTTAGCTGCTATTTTTTATTTAATAATTTTATCTCAACTATAGCCTAGACGCTATCTGAACATCTTCCTGTTTTTCCTCAATACATCTCAAAAGGTTTTAGATTTTTTCCTTTCTCTATTTCAGAATACAAATTTGCACTTCTCTTACCTGTACATAGTGTACCACTCAACAATCCTGTCTGAAATTAAGTAGGACCCCTTTTCTACCTCCTGAATCTATCACTGGAAGAATATAACTTTATTTTCCTTCTTGGAAAATAAAAATAAACCCAGTAATAACCAGCTGGAACCAAACATTCAAAGAAAACAAAGCAAAAACACAGTCTACAGAGATTTTTGCTCAGTGGTTACTTAACCATCTTACTTTACTTAACTACTTAGGATACCTCAGAGACATCTCCTCACTTGGCATTTTATGTCTTTTATGCCACCAAAACTCTTCATTTGGAAATGGTTTCTAAAATTACTGAGGAGATTCCCAAAGGACTGGATTTTGAGGTTTTCTTTACTTGCCTGTGTTTTTCTAGGTAGTCTCGTGGCTAGAACTATCACCTCAGAAGAAAAAGGGTTTCCATGACTTAAATCCTGTAACAGACTTTGCAAACTGCAACAGCAACTCCATGTACACAGCAAACCTGACCCCTTTTTAGATTAAACTGGATATGTATGCTGACAGGTGTAAGTTGGAAACTTGCATATTTTCCATTCAGCTTTCTTTGCCATAAAACTTCTACATCTCAATGGAATCAGTCTCATCCATTTCTTGTGACTGGGAAAGATAATCATCCCTCAATTACAGTTGCACCATGCCTCAGTTCAATATGCTGGTATTTTTATAATTTTAATATATTCTGTGTAGGAGAAGAGCTATTTTTAGCTAAGCACTTCCAAATTTTAGAGACTGATTTACTCTGCTCCAGCTTTGTCCTGCTTGTACAAGGAGCATGATTCCTTCTTGAGCTATGAAGTTACACAGGACAATTTTCCTTCTGCAGTCTTTGCTTGCCAGAGTGACCAGCAACTTCCCATTGTCCTTTCATCTGACATATATGGGGCTTGCTGTGACATCCCTAACTGGAGAATAAGGGACACCAGCATGCCTTTAACCACTGAGACCACTCTTACAGAATTCACACTTGAGCTTACATGGCTGTGATGATCTGAAGAGAAATAAATACAGATCCTTATCTCCAAAAGTCCTAGGCATTTGTACTTTTGCTAGCATTAGAAGGTGTCCTAAACAATACTGTCTCTGTTTCCTTATTGACAGAAGGGTAATGATCCTGTCTACCATCTGTTTTATATGTTTTTCAGAAATAATCAGTCTTTGAGTTAGACATTAGAGCCTGGTTTATTTCTTGCTCAGCTACCTTAAAGATTTTTGGACTATATATTTTAACCCAAAAGAACCTTATTGGTAATGTGCAGATAATATCTCTATATAGGTATTAATTTATTTACAATAAATTGTTTGACAACCTGAACTAACCAATCATTTTGCAACAAAGTTAACTCCACTTTATCATTACCATCTTTCCCCTAAGCTTACATAAGTTATCTATACCTGAGGTGACCTTTCTGTGGAACTTTGTGCCATTCCTGCTCCTAGTCAGCTTATTCAGAAGTCACCTTCCTCTTTCCAATACTGGTCAGGTGTTCAGGTGCTTTTACTACCAAAGATACTACTTATAATTGTGCATGCTGTCACTATGCAAGCGGCAGCAGAACTAGTGACTGAAGAAGAAGAAGGATTTTAATGTTTAGGTTCCACAGTTGAGTATTAACAGAGATTTTTTAAACAGAACTTTTAAAAAGTTCCTGAAGCCCATGAGTAGCAGTACAGCTTCCCATAAGCTTTCACTATATGCCTGACCTAGGAGCCCCAACACCAGTGCCACAAAAATCACTGCTAAAATCCAAAGCATAAAAAAGAAAAGTTGGTTGCATGGCAAGTGTGTTTGTTGTAGCAGCAGATGCAGAAGCAGAGATAAAAGATGTGTTTTGAGTCATGGTTATGTCATTGCATTGTTTCCCTACCCTTAAACTTTTATGAGACTATTTCCAATCGTTCCATCAGCATAGCTAACTTTTAATGTTCATTTACTTACAGGGTAAATTTATTTTGCAATATACTTGTTGTTAAAAAGAGAATCTACATGGAAGATTATCTTCATTCTGAATCACACTGCAGAAGAAAAGAGCCTATATGTATGATTTACATAACTTTAAAATAAAATTCAGCTGAGACCTGGCTGGTTTTATTGTTTTAGGAAGAATAAACAATTTTTCAAGAATGTGGGGTCTGTTTCTATCAGTTAACATATCAAGAAGAAATCCAATTGCAGTCTTGCCACAGGATGACCACTGTACAAATACCTCAAAAAGTACAATTACACTTGGTGACTGAGGTCTTTTCCTTATTTGCTTTTGTAGTCCTGACTTGCTAATTGCAGGCTGCCAAAACAAGCAGCAATGTTCTATCACTAATGTTGTTCTGCAGAAGTGGCCATAGGATTTTGTTCTCCTACTCTTCCACCTGCCAGAATTTCACCAGAGCACACAGAGCCTTACATATGACCATACAAGTGCACATCACTCCTTTAATTTCAAGCACAGAGATCATCTGAACTGGGTTTCTGGAACTCCCTTGGCAGCCATTCTAAAATAGCTCTGGTAAAATCTAGTCAAATTATTAATTCAGAGATATAGTGTAGCATATACAATCACTGTATTTCCTTGACTGAGGCATTTAAGCCTTCTACAGCACATCTTGACAAAAACTTAACAAGCAAGAGAGACTAGCAGCAGAAGGCTGAACAGTGCAAGTTGAATGATAAGTGTTGAACGCAATGACATAGAAGTAATGGGGCTGAATTTCAATTTGACATGCATGCTGCCAACAGATTAATCCAAAATTATCAACACAAAAGGAGCCAGCATTTAGATGGATGTAAAACTGATATAGAGTCAATTTCATCACTGTAACCTTGAGAAGCCTTTGGGTTATGTGCATTACTTTTCATTCCAACAAATACAATATTGTAAGGTATCTCCTGATGCTGGCTGCAGTGTAATGTTCTTACATGCCCTTCCTTAATTGGTTTGGCATAAAAATTTCAAGAATAGCATCCATTTTCCACTCATAGTACTTCCTTCTTTGGAAGTTAGCAGCTCATCCTCTGAGACTAAAGTTGCAAAACATTTCCTTCTCTTCCAGTCAGGTACAAGTGGGGATAAACATGTGACACACAATTAGTGAAGATTAGGAAGGGATGTAGGAAATAACTTCAATAGTAAGCTTTCCTACTAACACTCAGCTTCTGGAAAATTTTAGTCTGCAAAAAGCCTCTGCACAGCAGCTTCTACATCAATATACAAGGAAAAAATGCTTGACAATTTAAAATAACATTAGAGCAGTTCTCCTTTGCCCAAGCATCTGTGGGATTTACTACATGGAAACGGACTGTGAGATTTACTACAGGGAAAGAGCCAAGAAGAGATAGCATGGAAAAGGCACCAAGGGAACGGCACTTCACATACCTTACTCTGGTAATACACATACCACACTCTGATAATTTTACCCCAGGGGACTGGGATTTTCCAAAGCTTTTATTTTTTGTGTAGGAAAAGGTGGGAAAAAAATATTGGCG